CCTTCTATTTACATATAATACTTATAAAAAAATATATAAATATTTTTTAGTATTTAAAAGAAGTATAAAAAAGAATCTCATATTTTTTTTTACTTATTTATATTAGAAATATGATTTATAATTGATTTAAATTTATTTTATTACTAAAAAAATCACTAAGATAGGATAATGTAGCTTCAATATGATATTAGAATTATAAAAAATTTATAAAAATATTTAAAATTTATTTATATTTTTTTAGGGATATTTAGAGAAAATTTCAAGACTTTGGTAAAATTGAGTTTCTACCACATATGGAGCTATTATGAAGAAATGGAGCAAGATTTGAATATCATACAAAGTTTATAAGCTAATTTGATGTTTTTTTTATTATTTTTTATTTTTAATATTTTGGTGAAGTCAAAAATACAAAAAGATGAATTTTACTAGTAAAAAATAGGAGGACTAGCAACTAGTTTAGTCCTTGTAAGAAGAGAGGTAAACAAATTTCATATAGATTGTAGCACTTTAAATATAGTTAGGAGGATAAGACTAATGACTTGTGGCCTCTCTTAGCAACCTAAATACATTACATGTGAGCTTTTACAAGGCTCAAATCCTTGGTCAATAAGCAAGTTATCTTTGAAATAAAACATTTTCACTTAATTTTTTATTTATTTACTCGCTTTCTTTAAACATTCATAACTTATTCATAAAAAAGAAGATGCATAAGTTCCATATAAATTATAATGCCTTAAATTTAGTTAGGAGGATAAGACTAAGGCCTTATGGCCTTTCTTAGCAATCCAAATACATTACATGTGAGCCTTGATGAAGCTCAAATCCTTGGTCTATAAGCAAGTTATTCTTAAAATAAAATATTTTCACTTAATTTTTTATTTATTTACTTGCTTTCTTTAAACCTTCATAACTTATTCATAATAACTTGGATTTATATATTTTTTACATCATTAAAAAGATAAAAAAAATCTTTTAAAAAATATTATTTTATTTTATATTTTTTACTTTTTATTGAATGAAAACTCAGTGAACAAAATGTGACTAAGTTTTGGATTGTGTAATTGCTTGATTTCATTTATTTCACTTTTTTGTATTTTTTTTCTTTCTTATTATTTATTTCTTTCACTTTATATCACTAATAATAAAAAATTCTTGATTGATGCCATCTTATAAATTTGAATTGAGGGGTGGAATTTACCCTCACAAAGAATTGATTAGAGATTGTATGAAAAGAAGATTTAAGACTTTCTTAAAAAGTGGTAGCAACCACTTGCCCATCAAACCTCCAAAAAATTGAATTATTATATTGTTACTGTTCCTAATAATATTCTTGGTTTTAACACTTGTTCTTGGTCTTGAATCTTTAAAACTTAGATCTACAATTAGATCTGATCTATTTACTTAGATTTAATACAAATTCATACATATAATTACTTGATCTACAAGATCTACCTACTACTTTGATCCAAAACTACTTATGTAATATAAAATCTAACAAGATATTATTTCATCCATTCAACATCAAAGGTTTCAATATTAGTTGTATATTTTAAATATATATACATTGTCCCTAAATTAGCCTCTTAAATCTTCTTTTTGGTCCTTTTAGTCCTACTTCTAATTTCCTATATCTTCCTACTATTTTCTAATAATAATAATAACCACAATAATAACAACAAAAAGAATATATAAAAAAGAAACATAAATTCTTTAATATTCTTTCCAAATCTTAGCTACTATCCAAATTTAATTAGATGTTTTATCCATCATGATAAAAATTTATCCAATCTTAGTGGTCATCTCATTAATTAAATACTATTATTACAAAAAATTCAATAAGTACCAAAGATTTATCCTTAATATCAATTTTATTGTCCTAAGTTGATGGTTTATTAAATATCCAATTACACCTAATTAACATCATTTAATTGAGTAAAAAGTCTAAAAAGTCAAGAAATAAATAGCTAATAGGGATTTATAACTTTAGCATCTAAATTAAAGCATACTTATATGCAAAATAATTTTGGTATTGAATCAAAATCAAATAATAAAATTTAAGATTTCTTTATAATGTTTGTTTTCAGATGACCAAATTTTTTTGTATAGAAATTATAATTTAATATAGCTTATATTACTATTCTTATTAGAAACATCTTTTAAGATTAAGTAATAATTATTTAATATTATTAAATATATGAAAAATATTTAAATGTATATATATATTGAATCTATATTTTTTGTAAATTAAATATTTTAATAAATAAAAATTTATCATATTATAAATCTTATTTACATAAATTCTAAAAGGTTAACAAAATATCACAATAGAAACTTATAAGTAGCTTTGAGAAAACTTATTATATGAAATTGGCATGAAATTGATCAAGAATTGAAAAAAATGTATTCATATTAAAAAAAATATTATTGCTGATAATATAAAATAATGAATATAATTATAAATATATTCTTGTATGATTTTAATATTATTATAAAATAATTGAATATAAAATATATAATATTGAAAAAGTAAAAGTTGTATTTCTTTTGCAATAACAAATTTTTATTTTTATTTTCCAATACTTTATTTTTATTAAGTTAAAAAGATATTTTATTCTCTTTAAATCAAGTACCATATAGTGTATTTATTTCTTAGATTAATATTACTTGATTGATGTTTATATATTATTTTACAAAATAAATAAATTACAATCTAAATTGCAAAGAAAAATTTCGCCATGTTTATATTTTAGCAATGAATTTTATAAAGTGTCTTCTTTTTATCAAAAACAAATGGCAATTATATTTAATTCATAGAAATCAAAAATTACAGAAACCTTGATTTGAAATTTTAGCAATTATACAAGGTTCGAATTTAATAAAGAATTTTCAATCTTAATTCTAGTTTTGATGTAATGTCCTGGTATTTGCTTGTAAAATGTTACATAGTTTATCAAATTTAGACAATCCTACTACTAATTAGATATTTTTCTAATCAGCAATTAGCATCTATCATTCATTTCCAAGTCTTAACATCAAAATAGTATGTTTATCTGTATGCTACAAAACATGAAAAATAAAACTCTAATCTAAGCTAGATGGTTGCAAAAATATAAGTGAAAAGCAAGGAAACAAGACACAAAAAAAGTTGAGTTCAGGTTTCATGGGGAATTTCTTTGTATGAGAAGAGACACCAACAATGAGAAAAAAAAAAAAAGCAAGCTTTTAATACCCTATGAGGCAAAAACAAGATTTAGAATAGAGTGCTTCATTTTGAATTCTTAGCTTTATAAATAAGGTGCTGATTGTTTAATTGTTTGATACATAAAGTGCACACTTGTTAGATTCGATGAAGATTTGCACGTTTTGTGAATTAAAAGTTTGTGTCTTGTTGAGCACAAATTCATGAAATTGGCTGAATGAAGTTAAAATGAACACTGTTACGAGTGCTGCATAATATCAATTAATGTGTTAGTTCTATCCCCAAATATAACAGAATGCGAGAAATAAAAAAAGATCAATGCACATCTACTTTACCTGTATTCAATAGAAATCTTTTATGAAAAAGACAAAATAACAAATGAATGCTTTAACTGACATGAATGAACTTCTTCAAAAGAAAAACAAGGGTCTTGGGTTGTCTCCGAATTTCTTCCTGAACACTGATTGCTCCTAATTTTAACTTCTCGATGTGCTCAATGAAGCTGCAACTGTTTTGGTGAGTTGGGAGTGCTGAGAAGCAGATTCTATGCAAACTCAGTTTGAACTGTAGGATTGTGACTAATAACCGTTATTAAAATATTCAAGAGCTTATAACTCAAGGTTTGCGTAATTGTAAAAACTACATAATAAGGTCGAATTTGATGAGTAGAAGGCATATTGAGGAGTCCATGTTAATGGTCATAAACACATTGCATAACAGTCGAGGTAAAAGCTTCTCAACATTAGTCTCAGGAGTGGAATCTAATTTATATAATAGGTCTGGCTTGCAAATACTTTTCCCGGTCTCACTCCTGTCCAGACGAGGGTTAACAACCGTTTCTGATTGCTGCCTATCAGTTATCAGAAGTAAGGAACGTACAGAAACTTATAATACGGAGCTTACAGGAGCCGGATGCTACAAAGCTAATATTTGTGCTATTCGAGCTCATCACTCAAACAAAGAAGTCGTGACACCACACAAGCATCACTAAAATCAAGTCCATAAAAGCCTAAAAACGCATAAAACCACAGAACCATGAGAAAGAGAGAGCAAAGCCTCGCATACGTGATCTTGCGTGAAGCACTTGCATGCCTAGTTAAATGGTAAGTCCATGCGAGGAGACAGGTTCACCAATAGAAAACATTTTCCACCACTTAACTATGCGAAAACAGGTGAGACCACTGAAACACTGCAAGAGCAAAAGCACACTTATGGCACATTCTTCCAGTTGATGTAAAATTCATCCTGTAGAACAACCACAACGCTATATCCAAGCACATTAGGAAAGTTGATACCACCCAAGTAAACTATAGCAGTTTCTTTTGCACATCTTCAAAAGTATATTACCCGGAAATCCACAAATGAGTTTCGGATTGATCTAAAATACTTTGAGATGTTGACGCACTAGGTGCAGCTTTCCGTCCTCTATTACTTCAATGGAAATCATGGCCTCAGTATGCTTGGAAATAGCATAACATTTTTCATTTAAACAAGTGCGCACGCTATGTAGGCAGGATCTAAGACTCCTACCCTAATTCGCCAGGTACAGTTACAGAGCTCGGTTTGCAATCATCTCAGTTTACACGTGAATCACTAGATCACAGTTGAAGAGCGCCATTGAGGAAGAAAACACTTCTAGACGAGGTATATCAATACTACTAGCACAACCCTATTGACATGATCAAATATTAGTACACTTATGATAGTGCAACTGGCATACAGTTTATCCAAAAAGTGCCACATTAACGACATGATCGAAAGAGGCCATGCAAATGAGTTTCCACCATGAACTGCACGCACCTAAAAAACAAGGGCACAATGTAGCCCAACTTAAAATAAGTAATCATTTCTAAAATGTTCCAAAAGATGTGTTATCACGAAAACACAGGACAAGTTCACATCCCTCAGTCCAACCCTAACCGGCATTTAATCTGAATCCGGATCTGAGGAAGATTCCTTATCCATCACCTCTTCTACTTTATTATCATTAAGATCCTTGACAGCTATTTCCATGATCCTATCAAAAGCATCTGATCTGTTCTCCTTGATGTAAGTTGATACCAATGCCTGCGTCTCAGAACTGATAGAACCCAACAACTTCCGCTGCCCTTCGGTAAGCTTCTGGTCAGAGACACCAGTGGTAGCATTCAAGTAAGGACTCACAAACTTCTGATACAAGATGATCCCACCTCGGAACTGTGGCAAGACGAGCCACGAAGCAACGATGAGCTTGAGTGTCGAGTAGAAAGGGATCCACGCCAGAACTGGACCTGCAGCCATTTCCATCAGCGAAACCAACGAGTACAGCACCCAGTACGTCAGCCATTGCTGGTCATCCTCCTTGTCGGCACTCTCAATAGCCATGATCGATGCATATAAGGGGTATATCAACATCATCGCGGGCCCAGACAAGCTGTAAATCCGTAAAGAAAGTGGCCATAACAACCCCATCTCAACGTTGGGGCCGCACGCCCTGCGCCTCCACTCCCTCTCTACTCAGAATCAGACCAGATGGGAACCAAATCAGACCTAGAACCAAAACAAAAAGTGAAAATAACACAGAACCAAAACAAAGATGAATCAACTGCGGCTCTACTCCACTCTCGCAGACAAGAGAAAGCGCAACAGCAACATAGATGCGAGACTGTGAATGCCGGGGGCCAGCGATGACGTCCCTCCCTGCGGGCGAATTCATGCGAAGCAAAGCATGGCAAAGCAACGCGATCGGCCGCAACGGGGTGGAGCTCCCAACTAGCTCAGTGCGAGATGCGGCTTTAGGGCCCTTCACAAGGTCTTGCCTACGTGGCAGAAAATGATACTCCTACTTGGCGGGAACGCCGTCCCGCAATTGACGTGTCACTTGGGATCTTCGGGACGTCTTTATTCCCGCCATTAATGCCAGGTTGGGTTTTGCTTCCGACTGTTTGGGACGGCGCGGTGGGAATGGGGCTATTCTCATACGTTTGCAAATTAGTGAAGAATAAGAATTGGTATTTACAAGAGATTTCAAGTTCATGTTATTGGCAAATCAAAGATATTCTACAAATCATACCCAATGTGATTCAATGTATCAAATTTTCGACTTTAGTCACATTTTCTCAAATTTGTAAATTTAAATGGAATGACTTGGTGAAAGGAATTAATATTATATAATAATTCAATATAATTATGAACTATATATTCAATCAGTTGTAATTTTAGAATGTTATTTTGATATGTTACGGTTGTTTACATTTACATAATTGATAATGTCCTCTGTAATGATAAAAATTCAAATAAACAACAGTGATTTACACGTTTTTAATTGCAATGTGAATTTTGTAAAATAACAAAAATAATATTGAAGGTTAAAATATATTTATATATATATATATATATATATATATCCCACGATTCCTACAAAACATCTATAAATTAATCATACAAATAATATGTATATATATATATATATATATATATATATAGCTAATGTTATGCACAAAAGAACTTAAGAGTTTTAAGCAACCATAGAGTATACAAAAAATATTGATGAGACTAAGAATGGCTTCAGACTTTTGTATATATTATTTAACCTAAAAACTATATAATAACTTTCTATAAACTACAAGAATTAAAACATAACCTTTAAAGTCAAGGGAAGCTTTATAGTAGCTTATTAAAGGTACTAAACTTCTTGAAGCAATCCATGTAACCACATGGCACACCTACAAAATTAATCTTTGTCTAAAAAGCATTTTTGATGTTTCTTGAAGTTTCTCGAAAAAAAAATACTTGATATGTTTATAATTTTTTTATATTTACCTATACTTAGTTCTATTTACTTAAATAATATTAGTATATATACATGATTTAGTTTATATAAGAATATTAAAATAAAATAAAAAATTGAATTACACTCATATGCACAAATAATAGATTGAAAATAAAATTTCATATTTACATTCTAAAGTATCATTATGTTTTATAAAATTTTAATATTCACCATACAACACGAGTTATTTTAATAGTTGTTTGTTTTATTTTTGTATAAAATAATATGAAAATACTTTAATTTACATAATTCATATTTAAAAATATTTTTTTTATGTTTATAGTTTATAAATAATTTATTGAATTAATTAAAAATAATAGATTATGTAAATTAAATAAAACTAAATAAAATATTAAAAATCAATTATGGTTAATCTATTTTTACAAAAAGGAATATAGTTTAATAAAAATTATACATCTTTATATAATATGTATATTTTTTAAATACTAATACCATTATTAAAATATTAAAATTTGTAGTAGGTAAAAGATAAACTATAATATCAATTGAAAGTTAAATAATAACTATTGTTAAAATTTTACATTAATAAATTCAAACATATTTATTTTTTATACCTGGCTAAATTACATTAATAACTATTGTTAAAATTTTTTATACCTGGCTACTATAATATGAAATCTTAAATAAAGCTTTGATCTTTATCATTTTTATTTAAAAAACTGTTTAAAATATATAATAATTATATTATATAATTAGATAAGTAGATAATTATTTACAAGTATAAAAACACTTTTATAATTAAAAAAATCAGAAATAAAAAATCAGTTTATAGATGCTAGCTGATTTTAAATTTTATAAAAGTTAAAAAAACTTATATATATATATATATATATATATATATATACATACACATACATGCAATATTCTTCCATTAATAAATCTCCTAAAAAAGATTGATTCTTAATAGTTAATCAAGATTTTGAGCACCATTTTTTGGAACCAACTTTGCATGATTAATAAAATTTAGTATCTATTAATTAATTAATTTTTATTGACTTTCATTAAAATCACACAAGTTATGAACAAAGGCCATGTGGATGCCATAAAAAAAGTGACCAAGTTAGATTATAGGACCTGATCTTCGATATGCCACCTTTGATGATAGAAAACCTCTAATAGTAACATTTCCCCTTGGAACAGATGATATTAATTATGGGAGAACACTAACCATATATATATATATATATATATATATATGTAATTTTTGTAAGTTTTTGAAATTATAAACTTTTGATTTAATTTTTTTGGGAATGTTTTTGGATCAATTGTAACCGCAATGAAATTGTATGCGTTGGAGTAAATAGGATTATTATTTTCTCTTCAAATCGAAGACACACAATGTTCAGAATGACCAAATTTTTCTGGAATCACTTGCGATGGACTGAAAAAGAGTTCGCATCGTTTTCAGAGGACAATTAAAAACCTTCTTCTGGTCCAAGGCTCACTTCAGTATCTCCATTCCCTCTGTTTCTTTGAATCTTAATATTATATGTGAGTGGATGTCCATGAAATGTTTGGTATCTGAAACGGTGTGCAAACATGAATTATGAGAGAGTGTGTGTAGAACAGCGAATGCAAACTCTTCAGCTGCCGGTACTATTGCTGGAGAATCTGTTGCACCTCAACAGGGAAAAACACAAAAAAGCAAGATCCAGTGGACACTGCAAATGGTGGGCTGGACAGGATCCAGCTTACTTTGACGCCCAGATCGCACAAGTGCTTGGACTTGCCAATATAATTTCAGCATTGGTCACACGTTTTGAGCTGCCAAGCTTATTTCAGCATGAGCAGCTCACGAGTCACGAATGGCCCTGCCACACTGTTCTGCAGCATGTGCGCAGATGCTATTTGAATTGTAGATTCGTTGAGTTTTGGTGACTCATCTCACTTGTGTTTCGTAAAATAAGTTGCTGCAGGATCCATTCCTTTAGTCTAATGCTTCCATTCGTTCAGATTTTGCTGTTTCTGGCAGGTTACAGCATGAATTGCTCGTCCAAAACTAGATGCAAGGTGACGCAAGTATAGGAAGTGCGTCCACGAAGGCAAAGTATGCTTGGTGGTCTCCTTTACCGTCATTGATATCTTTGTGGGCCCTCTGTGGCTAGCGCCAAACAAGACTTCAATATCGTACATGTTGCCACCCTGGTCACCGAATTCTAAATTATAGTACCTTGACCTTCATCGTTTTGGAAGTTGTGAGGTAGCACAGCGCAACGAGGTAGTATCAAGTGAGCCTCCGCCTTTTTGTCTTGGTAAAAGCTTTCCAGCCAGCGTTTGGTAGACCCATCGGTCTATGTGATCACTCCCTAACCAGCAGGCGAAGAAACGGATTTCTCATTTATTTGCACCACTACCTGCATACAAAACTGTTGGTTTTTCTTATTTATTTTCTTTTGTTTCGAGCTTAAAACTCAACTGTAGTTTTAATTTTTTTTCTATCTGACCCTTTCGAGATTCTTACCATTAACAGTTTCGTGTACTCAGTTGTGGATATTGAGAAGCAAGGATTTAAAACAGGATTGTTCCTGAACTATAAGTTGTGATACTGGATGTTTTTTGAAGTTACGCCCCTATTGTCATCCAAAAAATCACAAAATAGATTAGCAGGGCAGATCTGGATAGTCGTTGATTAAGGGATCAAAACAAGTACTCGAGCGTTAGGCTTAAGCTGAGCCTCAAAACAAGGTTTATGAGTGACAGTTCCACTCATTCAGTGCTCTGCACTCGACTATCAATACACAGACAAAAATAGATTACTGGATTAGAAGCGCCTAAGCTGGGCATTCCGTTTACTATAATGGTACTGCAGAAATCCGCACATTGAATCCTTCCCTGCTTGGTATGTACGAGTCAGCTACACGTTGTTGGTCCAACTCGTTTTTTGATTTTCTTGTCAAACCTTTACGATCTAGCATGGAACACAACTGAAGAGAAAGAACTCATCTCATAATGGTTCCCGACCCTAACCTTGCCTTCATCGCAAAAGTCATCTGGAGATGGTAAGTTCGTGTCCACAACCCGCACCCAATGCTTACCAGAAGGTGGAGCCGGGACCTCCACTGGCACCGAAAAATTGTGCGAGTTGAAGGCAACGTACAGATCACCTCCACCCAAGTTACGTTCATGAAGAGTGAAAGCAATGAACCGGCTCTCTGGATTCGACCAGTCATGCTCGTGCCAAGTCACATCATTGTCAGAGAGAAACGATTCTCGTCCAAGAAGAGGGTGCTCTTTACGAAACCTTATGGTCGATGCAAAGAAACGAAACTGAAAATCACGCTTCGACTCCAGCTGTTTCCATTGATAGTGGTTGATTACAGTATCGTGTCCATAGCTGTTGTTGTTCCCAAAGCGCGTATGTCCATATTCGTCTCCCATCAAGATCATGGGCGTACCCTGGGAGACCATCAGTGCTACTTGGAAGTTTTTCATCTGCCGATTACGAATGGCATTCACTCCATTATCATTTGTTTCGCCTTCAACCCCACAATTCCAGCTGAGGTTATCATTGGAGCCATCCTGCCCAGCTTCCCCGTTCGCTGCATTGTGTTTCATGTTGTACGCTACGAGGTCGTAAAGAGAAAACCCATCGTGTGCAATCACAAAATTGATACTATGGTAGGGTTTCCTATTATGGTTGTGATACAAATCAGCAGAGCCAGCTAACCGAGTGGCGAACGGCCCTTTCATTCTTGCATCCCCTCTGATAAATCTTCGAACATCGTCACGATATTTTCCATTCCATTCAGCCCATCTGTCCCAGTTAGGAAAGTGGCCGACGAGATACAAGCCTCCACAATCCCAGGGCTCGGCAATCAGCTTAGTATTCCTCAGTACAGGATCATGTGCAATGGCTTTCACGATAGGAGGCGACGAGAGAGGTTTACCATCAGTATCACGGCAGAGGATGCTAGCAAGGTCGAACCGGAAGCCATCGATGTGGTACTCTGTGACCCAGTGGCGGAGACTGTCCAGGATGAGCTGCATGACGACAGGATGATTACAGTTGAAAGTATTTCCACAGCCGCCGTAGTTTGCAAGCTGCACATAGTTATTTAAATCCACTATGTAGTAAATCAGGTTGTCAATGCCACGGAAGGATGTGAGATAAGGATGCTCATCGTCAGCCTCGTTCGTGTGGTTGTAAACCACGTCTAGTATCACCTCAATGCCTGCATTGTGCAGAGCACGGACCATTTGCTTGAACTCATTCGAAGCTGCCACAGGCCCACCGCCATTGCTTGCGAACCGGCTCATAGGTGCAAAAAAGTTTATCGTTGAGTAGCCCCATGTGTTAAGCATGTGGTCTCGCAGATTAGGCCTTCTCTGAAACTCGAACTCATCGTATTCAAATACTGGCAGTAGCTCAACGGCATTAATCCCTAGTTCCTTTAAATGAGGAATCTTCTCAATCAGTCCCAGGTAGCTTCCCCTTACACCTTGCTCTAATCCAGAAGACTCATCTCTTGTAAAGCTACGCAAACTCATTTCGTAGATAATGAGGTCTTTCTCGGGTAGAGAAGGCGCCTGATAGCCTTCTCCCCAGTCAAAAGCAGCTGCAGTGAAATCGTAAGTGCCGAAAAAGTTTGCCATCTTCTGACTTAAATCACCGAACACACGGCGACCCTCCACCAATTTGGCGTAAGGGTCGAGCAACACCTTCTGGCTATCAAAACGGTGGCCCTCCCCCCATCCCTTTGGCCCATCTACACGGTAGCCATACAACACCCCCTTAAGGGGAAGCTCATTTATCAGAACGTGCCATGTGTTGTCCGTTTTATGTTTGTGAGGGTCTAATTCAATCACTTGAGTGGGTGCATCTGTGCTCGAAGGCTCCAGGTATCTGTGACATCACAGGTATATTCGTATTATGAGGGATCTTTGCAGAGAACGTGTTTGCATGTAGAACGGTCTAACTAAAAAGAAACACATTCAAAGAGTAGTCAGGTTTTGGCATGAAACCAGGAAGACTTGCCCAAGTCCAGAAAGACTTACATACACAAGGACACCGATGTCGCATGTTGAGAGAAGAGAGCAAAATTGATTCCTTTCTCAACTTGAGAAACACCTAGAGGGAGAGCCTGGCCACGTTCACAAGTAAATGAGCCCGCTCCTGCAGTTGTCGGTGCCTCGACAGCAGCACAAGGACGCAGCGTGTGGCGAATTTTGCTGGTGCCATCGTGAAGCTCCTCGCGCGAGCGCAGTTTCAAAACGACGGGGTCCATGCGCTTCTGGAAGGAAGAGCTCAGGCTCGATCCTGAATGAGGAGAAACAGCGCAATTGGTGGTGCCAGGAAACGACCGATTAGGTATCGGAGAAGAGAGACACGAGAATCGCCACTGCGAAAGTTTAAAGAGGGTTGCCATGGCCACGGTCGAGGAGCACGCACTGCCTGGTTAGTCAATGTAGAGTAGGACGGCGGAGTAGGTCAGTGATGCACAATACTGCTTGACATAGACAAAATCTTCAAAAGAATTTGCAATCCCAATACTTCAGTGATTTAGAGACTCAGTCCAAGCATCTTCCACATGTATCTTCACATGTGGCAAGCTTGACTGCTAATTGCGGCTTCTTCATCGCAACTAACCCTGGGATGGTCAATCACACCCACCCACAGCTTTCAGTTCTCTGTGTAAGGACTTCAACAAAACGAATCATCACCACAATTTTGTGGGACAAAGCATGTGATCCAGACAACCAACTTAGAATCAGCATACGGTAAGAAATTATTATAATATATCCACACCCACACACACATACCCACCCACACATCTGTCTGAGCATGTGGATATATGTATGTTTATATCTATATATATATATATATATATATATATAACGTTGTTATCAGAGCTTGATTGTCGAAGTGGATCCCTCGAGTGTATGTGTCCTGGTTCGTGAGTTCACTTGAACGGCGCCAGGATTACACAGCTGCGTGCGATTACACACCAGGTTTTGCTAGTTCCCCAATTCATTATCCCTCAACCTAAGCCGGACAGAAGCGCAATAGATCTCTGCACTGGATGAAGAAAAGAGCTTTTGGCATGCGGAACTGCCAGAACCTGGCAGTTACAACTCCACATTGATTCATACTCGTGTTGGCATATACTCCTGCTCGCAAGTGTTGGCATACTCCTCATACTCAAACAAAGTCCGAGATTCGACACTCTGATATTATCTCGAGTTGTAATGGACTAAATGTTAACAAAAGTCTTACTCAATGCTCGGCACAAACAGCCCTTCCGAAATTAAGGTCTGATGTGTAACTACATTGCATGAAGGCTCTGGAAGAAATGAAGAAAGTTACTCCTCAAAGACGGCAACGCTCCAAGAATAAGTCAACGGTTACTTGCAAGAGGTAAAAGCACCCAAAAAATCTTTGCACAAGCCTCACGCGCATGAAACATTGCATTATGGAACTGTGCGAATCCATTCATGGAATGTTCAAAGAGAAATTCCCGTCAACTAAAGATCAGGAGATGACAAACTTACAAGCACGGCGCCTCTACGGAAATTGGAAGAGAGCATGAGAATCCACTAGAAGCACTACGTTCCGTGTTCTAGACTGCTGTCCAAGAACAAGCTGATTTAATATTCTATACTAGAGGACAGTGCCCAGGGAAGCGCAACGCCTCGTAATGGACAATAAGAGCACATTCTGGAGCAAATTAACTAGAGAAACCCTCTAACCCTACCACAAAAAATTGTGGTGCATTGACTGTCCTTGGTTGACGAAAAGCAATCTGCGCAATGGTCATATGCCATCTCAGCCCCTCTTAATGCCACGTCGGGTGCTGACTGTTTCTTAACTCGACCCCCATCGTGTGATTTTGGAGCTCCAGGACAGCGGATCGTAAAACCCTCACAAAAATGTGCGAGGAATCTGAGTCAGTTTGGAGATGGTGGGGAGTCGAGCTCAAGAGATGGGATATCTCGCCACATTTTGAAACTTGTTTAACGTTGAAAGCTGTTATCTGGAACGTGTGTTCTTGCCATCTTTCTAAATTCGCGTCTTTGCCTGGTGGGCCATTTGGACCCATCGCACTTGATATGTTGAAGTCTCGTTGCTGTTGTCCGTGTGGTATGCCGAACTCGTGGAGTGCGAAGATAGCTCAATGCAAGTGCTTTTTATTCACTGATGTGTAGATCGGATGCAGCTAAATTTTTAGTTGTATCCACGCAAGGCAGTTTAGGTTTTTAGGGACACAGTCGAGACAAGTGAAAGCAAAGACGTAAATATTACAGTTCGAAATCAGGAATTAGGGTTTTGTTTGTGATGGTTTTGTAAGAGTAACTGAGAGGAGGAGCGCTGCATTTTGGTGGTGATCTCTGAGGGGGCCGACGATGGGCTCCCTGTGGTTGTACTCTGTGGCGGTTGTGGGACTATTGCTCTGCACATCTTCGGGTGCGCACGCCCTTGGCCTGGCGAAGAGTGTGAACGTCTCCGTGCGAGCTAAGTGGGAGGGCACTTCGCTGCTCCTCGAGGCTGGGTTAGCTTTCAACCGATTCCCCTCTCGCGTTCGTGCTGAATTTGATGCAACGGTTTACAGGATTGTGTACTTGCGTTTTAGTAATCCGGTTGCGTCTCTAGGTGCAAGTCTGAAATTTATTTTAATTATAGTGGAGTGATCTCTTTGAAGTTCATCGCTGTTGTTAACGAGAGATCCGGTGATGATCGTACTTGCTGTATAAAAATTCTGGGACAAGTTTAAGTTTATTCGGATATGCTTTTCTTTTTGCATTGGGCATTGCGAGATATCTTTCTCGATTTCTCTAGTAACGCCAGCTTGCAATTGTCGTCTAGCTTACATTCTGATGGGTTTCTGGTTACAATGTTGATTAGAAGGGTACTACTTCCTGAGCTGGAATCGGGGTTTATTTTAAAGTGAATTCGGTACAGTCTAAAAATCTTGCATTTACGATTGTTGTTAGTGAAAACAGTACTATTCCTAGCATGAACTTGAGTAGCTTTGTTTCACATCGTAAAGTCCGAGTTCTATGTTCAAATGGCTTATCACGGATTATATCACATCGAAGCTGAACTCTATTAACCCATCGACAACTGTGAGTAAAAGGGCTCATTAAAATTATAAGGCTGCTTGTCACAATTCTGTGGGATGTTTGATGTAACAGTATAGGCAGTTTGCCATTAGGGACATGGCCTCCCCGAACATGTAAACGTTCCAAGGGTCTTGTACATCATAAGCTATGAGTCCATTCTCAAGCCTGCAATGTTGCCACATGCATTGTAATTATGGTAATCGCTTCCATGGTTCTTTGATCGCAGTGAGTTGTTAGCAAAGGAGAGAAATGATCTCTACTGGAGGTTCTTAGAACAGTGGTTGGAGAGTGATGAATCTGCCAAGATCCACACCGATAAAGAGTGCGTCCAACACATTGAGGAGAGAGGGAGTTCCATTCTTGGAGCACCACTTTCTCCTCTTTTCCGACTGTCTCTCTCTTTGCGATCTGCATCACCCAGGCTCGTTCTCTATCGACAACTTGCATCAGAGAGTCTTGCAGTGTACAATTCTGTGAAGAAGGTGCTGCATTCCACCTTTTGTCTAATATATATATATATATATATATATATGAACAGATAGATAGATAGTTTGTTAGTTAGCTTTCGGCGGGCAGTTCCATGCATCTTTTGAGTCACTATAGAGTGTATTACAGTTATAAAGTGCATTGATTTCTGTCTGGCATTTGCTCAAGTGGAAAACTCTTTTAGTACTTGGAAAATGATCCTGAGCCTGTAGTTTCGACGGCACACTGTTGTACTATTTGTACGGAATAATTTTTCCTTTAGTGTTGGCGAGTTATCTCTTTTAATTATCTTGTCTAGTTGTCTAAAAGCTTTTTCTATTATTGATTTTAGGTTGAGGAGAAAATACCAAACGAAGTCGTCTCTGACCGGTGGTCAATCGGGAAGCCTCCGACAGCCTCAGAAGGGAGATGTTGTTGGATTGACACTGGATCTGAGATCTTTTATGACGAGTCCGAAGTCTTCAACTGGCTCCAGTTTTCTACAGAAAGGTGTTCTATGCTCTCTATTGATTCTAGTTTGGTTGATGATCATCATGATTGCGACTTCGGATTTTGGAGGTTCAATTTTTATAGATACATTTTGATTGCAAGAGAAACTTAATCAGACATAATTAAACTCTGTGTTTATTTTGCAGCTCTGTTGAAGAGAAGCCACAGCCCGAGGTCTTTGAGTTCGACCATATTTATCCTGGATCTGAATACGGCGACTTCACTGCTATCCTCTATGGAGCACTTGGGACTCCATGCTTTGCAAGGCTTCATTCCCTTTTGGCGGATGCTTCTAAACATGTAAATATTTTATCATGACGTAGAGTCGATGTACATAGGTGTAGTATTTTGGAATTTACTTTATTTTTGGCCAATAATATGGTCTTTTACTCATTTTATTCGTCTCCTTCTCTTTCCGCGGAGTGTATCATCTACCTCCCAGCCCCTGGGATATCAAGCCACTCTGAGCTTGTCGTCATACTCGAAATGCGTTGTTTCTCCTGCAGGGATTCGTCAAGTATATTGTTCGTCCTGTTCTATCTTCTGGCTGCGAGAAAGATGCTGAAGTATGTACACGCAGTGGTCATGGAGGTCCAGTTAATCTGGGAGGTTATGGGATCGAGCTTGCTCTTAAGAACATGGAGTACAAAGCTATTGATGACAGTGAAGTAAAGAAAGGTATTTTCCCTTTTGTGAGACTTCTATCAAAATCGATAGATGAAATATCTTAACCAATTCCTTTCGCCTTGATCATCAATTCTTATTTAAAAAAAAAAAAAAAAAAAAAAAAAAACTTTTGTTATGAATAAGAAATTTTTGCTCATCTGCCTTTAGAAATAGCAATTCCTTTCTGCGAAAACATACTGAAGCGACCGACTGGTAATGGCTCGATGCACAAAAACCGTCATCATTAGCTTTTTAGTACACGGTGCAACAGTTTCGTGTATTTGTGCCTAAAAATTAGAAACTTTTAGGAAGTTAACTATGTCACTGATATGTTTTTATCACTGTTGATGTAAAGCCGAAAGCCCTTCTAACTCTCAACATTTACACTGCATAGGAGATAATGGGGAAGAAACACGGACTGAAGACTTGAGCCAGGACGTTCGAGGCTTCATTTTCTCAAAACTCTTGGTGCGTTGAGTAGTGTAGATAACTGGTGGCTTTATGGTTGATGTGTAATCCAATGGGTGTTTATTAACCTAGTTTTTCGTGATTACCTTGTTAGTGCCTCAACGAAGTTTTTTCTAACCCAGAGATATTCTTATCTTTCTTTGGAAAGCATTGTCGTAACCGCTTTATTGTGCAGGACCGGAAGCCAGAGTTGACTGGAGAGTTATTAACTTTCCGCGATCACTTACTGTCCTCTGGCGTCGCGGACAGCATGAATGTGTGGGAGCTCAAAGGTGACGTTTCCATCCCGCTATCAGATTTGCACCTTCGTCTGGACTTATGTTTTAGTCTCTTTGTTAACGTTGTCGGAGAGAAGTATCATACTATTTCATCTGCCATCCTGCAATCCAAGACAAGAGGACATTAGAGCTTTCAAAGTCGTTGATTGTCCTTGTACATGACATTTTTCTTACATACAACTAAATTTGAGGAGTATCCAACAGTTGTATGCACATTGACTTAGGCAGGCTTTGGCATTGTGTCTCATTGATTGTGCACATTGGTGTTCTATTAGTTTTTTGACAGTGTACTGTAAATGCCTTAGATTTTTATTTTCATTATCTTACTCAAGGATTTCAAAATACAGATTTGGGGTATCAAACAACACAACGTATTATCAAAGCGTCAGAACCACTAAAGCTGATGCAGGAAATTAATCAAAACTTTCCGAATTTGGTGTCATCGCTGTCTCGTATGCAGGTATGGAATCATTAACTTGGTTACCCAAATTCTGTCACCAAGTTAAAGTCGCGATCAGTAAACATTATCAGTCGAGGTTTTCGCTTTGTTTGTTTGTTTGTTTGTTTGTTTGTTTTGTTTTTTTTTGTTTTTTGCCTTATATGCTCGGATGAGTCAAATCCGGGGTTTTTATTGTTCAAACGTATTCTAGTAGATAGTCACGCCAATCGGAGGTTATTATCCTAGCAACACATGGTGTATGTCGTGTACATTGTGTTAATATCCTCTAAATGTTTATCATTGCTTTCTCTGCAGATAAATGATACAATTAAAGAAGAGATTATGTCCAACCAGCGGTTGCTTCCAGCTGGGAAGAACCTAATGGCGATTAACGGAGCCATCCTCAATATAGAAACTATTGATCTTTTCTCGTAAGGATATTCTCATATTTATCATCAAAAGTATATAAGCTTCCATTAAATTGTAAAACGTAGGATTCGTTCGTGGTCTTCGCTTGTTACTTGTGTATGTTGATATCTCCCCGAATATTGTCTTGTCTAGGTTGATTGAGCTTGTACAAGGGGAGCTCTCGCTGGCCAGCAATATTCTTTCTTTGAAGGTGCCATTCCTGAACCATGACACATTATCGTTTGTAAATCTTCAAGCTTCTAATGATCTCTTTGAGTCAGTTTTACTAGGAATGCTTCGTGGTTATGCAAAAGCGGTCACCAAACACCAGCTTGCAAGACCAAACTTGGAGAAGCTTTCTCAATATTAGAGTTAATCTAACAATTATGCTTGGAAAGTAATGCTTGTTCAGTATACTGCATATTCTTGCCACTTTGGTACTACTGACTGTAGGATATGGAGGCACTGTAGAGCTATTCATGTTGACTGCAGTTCATTTTCTACAACTGATCATTTTGATATAGTTCTAGTGGGAGCTGTAAATGGCAAATTGGACGAGTAGCAAATATTTCACCTTATCGTTAACAATGGACCATGTATAGATTCCAGAGAAGTTTATTCGGAAATTCTTACTGCTACCTGAGGCTTCAGAGCAGGGGGCAATGCGGCTTGACTACCGATCTGACAAACATGTTCATTATCTCAATAATATTGAAGAAGATTCAAGATATAAGCGCTGGAGATCGAATTTGAATGAGGTATCCTAAGGTTTTGTTGAATACCTTGACGTTTGGTATGCACAAATTGGCGACTCTTCATAATGAAATGACAATAACCGATAAATCAATCTCATTTGGCTTGAACGACCTTCTATGCATGAGTGAGATGTTATGACTTCAATTCTACCCTCATTATACTACTGGATGATTGACCAAAGTCATCAGTGACATTGTTTATCAGCGTATGATGTTAATTTAATGCTAAATCTAAACAGTCCCTTTATGGCTGCTTTGTTCCTCTGTTGTCTTCAGCTTGAGTGGAAATGAAATCAACTGTATCTCATTTTACTTTCAACCTCAATATAGCTTATTGATTGAAAGTGTTCTTGTCAGTCTTCTAGAGAAACTACCTTTCTGTACTTGTGATACTCTTCTAAAAGGTCGTCTGAGGTTTTGATTGAGGTGATTGGATGGTGCATTGGACAGCTGCTGATGCCAGTGTTCCCAGGACAAATGCGTTACGTGCGCAAGAATCTGTACCATGCTGTTTATGTGATTGATCCTGCAACTCCAAAGGGGATGATGGTAAGTTTTTATCCTCTTATTTTATATGTGCCGTGTGATCTTAAGCATTCACATTTTATGTAATACATAGAAGAGTTTGATCAGACCCTTATGCTTAGTTTCATTTTCAATTTCGCTATTTTGAAGAACGCATTCACAATCTTAACTTACGTATTGTTATTCGTGCAGGCCGTGGAGGCATTTACCATGTTGTATGAAAATAATTATCCTATGCGATTTGGTGTTATCCTTCTTTCTGGAAACGTTTTGGAGAAAATTGTTGCCAATGGTGAAGATATAATAAGTGTTGAATCAGATGGCGTTTCTAAGGACAAGAACTCAGAAACAGATCTCTCTTTATTGGTATATATGTCAAGTTCTGTATTCCTTATTGTCGCATTGTTTTTTTCTTTACAGTTTCTTTGACGAGCTTGTAACTGCAAAAGCTCTAGATCTTCCTCTCTTTGAGATACTTTGTGGGAAGAGTAACTTCTTGATGATGTTGAGTATTCATCAACTTTGATCGTTTTTTTTGGTAAATTAGATGCATGAAACATCAGTCTTTAAGTTGGATGTTTTATATATTTCTATAATAAACTGGTCGTTGGCTCTCTTTTGTGTCTGTTGAGAGGCCATTATTAAGCTATTATTATTGTACCTCCAAATGTGCAGATCATACGCTTATTTCTGTTTGTCAAAGAGGAATATGGCGATAAAGAGTTGGCTCTTAAGTTTCTGAGCAACGTAAGTATACTCTCTAGGCATTTACATACATCACCATTAGGGGATACGACTGCCTGCACCTCTGTTTTTGTTTGAGCGGATATGATAAAACAGTAAATCTTGTATGTCCAGTTGTAAGAATGTTGATCATGGGATGACTTCAGCAACAGCAACATGGGTTACAGATCTTAATGTGTTTGGGTTAAACAACATCACAAAGCTGGGCATATACTTAGCACTGAGTTCTTTTTTCATCATGAACCATCCTTTTCAGAAGTACATTTAACTTGGTTGTCTTTTATGGAACCATCAGTTGCATGCTGCTTGGGCTGGAAATTTTGATGGGGATGAAGACGTTCCAGTTCAGAGGTCTCATGTTGTTGAGGCTATCATGGGAATTCTAAGGTGTATCAAATACTCTACTTCCTATTTTGATCAAAAGATGTTTTAGTTTTAATCTATATGATTGTCTTTAGTTGCTTATATATGTTAACCTGTCCGAGAGTGACAATGGATGATTTATTAGATTCTGGTAGTTGTGTGCTGTACTGTTCTTCTAAGGTTTAGAAACAAAAACATAACAAGAAGCTGGAAAACTGACCAGCATAGAAATGCTAGTGAACCATACTCTAGCTAATACCTGTGTTGTGTGGTATGAGAAGGCATGATCAAAAAGCCAGTGAAGGCCTGAAGGAACAAGCTACGGCAATATTGGATAGATTTGATTCTGGATCCGATTACAGAGAAGTGGCTTTGGATAGTACTCTTTTTGTTTACAAATTGGGTCTATCAAATGTGTATCCCGCCTTGCTAATGAATGGTCAAGTTTACGGCTCTAGCCAGGTAATTTCTTGTATGTTTTATTTACAGCTATGGGTGTTGCCAACTCTAATATTTTTGGTTCTCCTTCATTTCTAGGTTGGCTTGATCTGATAGTTCGATAATCACTTCGAGTCTTTTACTAGGTGATTTTAATCTGCTATCAGGTGTGTACTGACAATAATTATTTTTCAGGTTGTACATGCGGCGGCCCAAGCTATGAACGAGGAGCTTCCAAGGTTGCAAGAGGGTGTTTACTACGGTGCCATCAACCTACGCACAGACATTCTTGAGAAGTTTCTTTCTGAGGAAGGCCAGCCCCGCTACAATCCTCAGGTGAGAAATAATCATGTGGTTCTGTATCACACTTTCATTATTGACTGTATTATCTCTATTTTTACTACAAATTCTGTAATAGTGACGTTTTCAGTTTGTAGATTGTTGCAGTACCTAAAGAGGACCGCAAGTATGTAGGACTCGCGTATCCCATAGCACAAAAAGACCCTGTGCTTACGAGGTTGCAGTATCTTCATCACCCTGGAAGTAAGACATAGCCTGTTTATTGGTTTCTTTCTCAATGGTTTCTGTAGAGCAGTGTGAGGAGAGTTAGTCTCCATGCTTTGTCTCTTGTGGAAATTGTTTCGTAACTGGAGCGTTGTTAAGGGTTGAGTGAAGACCTACAATTTCAAGTGCGTGCCTGAATAGTGTATTTCATATTATTAGGGCTGCTTGTTGATCCGTCTACCTGATAAATCGCGCAGCTGAAGACAATGTTAAGCCTGTCACCCACTGGTTGGCTTTGGATCTTAATAAGAAGAGTGGTGTGCGCCTGCTTCAACAGGCTCTTCAGTACCTTGTATGTCTCACTAGTTGTCTTAAAAGAAGCTTTAATTTGCACATGATAACCAGAATCAGGTGGTTATTATAGGAATGCCACAGTCTCTTTATTAGTGCTTATCATAATATCTATTTTATATTTCCTATCTTTAATTTGTGAATGTCTCCCGTATAGCAGGATTGATAGTCCAAGCAACATGTTTGAATCTGGAAATCATTGCTATCGTCCATGTAGTTGAATCGCTGATAAATTTATTTTAGAACTCTAGCCTCAGTGTTTTGTGATTTTATTTTCTTTATTTTGACAACAGTCAGATGGGTCCAAGAAAGGGAGAGTCGGGATATTACACAATCTTAAGGCTTCAAATATCCTTGAACCTTCACTTTTGATTCGAGTTGTGATGGTGGTTGCGAATACCCCAAGGTATACAAGCTGCTGAGCATAACAAATTAATTTTTTATCTTTCAGTTTTGTTTGACCCTTCGCTCGAGTGTATATCACATTGACGATGAAAGTTATTCATACTTGCTTAGCCTGAGATTTTATGAATATGGCTTGGTTTATCAGACTTGTTAGTTTTTATTCATCTGCTTCTTCATTTCTTTATCTGACAAGTAGGACAGCCGGCGGGCAAAGGTTGTACCGTTCTTGCAGAAACTGCTGACTATCAAGGAGGTGACCGATGTACTTCCGGATGCACAAACTGAGGCCGAAACCATGAAAGTTGTTCTCACGCTTGCTGAGGAGATGGGTTTGAAAGCTTCCTCTTTAGAGAAAGCTATTTCATCTGCTTCAGCGCATTCCGTGCTTGAGAAGATTGAGGAGGTATCATGTACATTCTGGATTTTAGTGCTTGTAGAACCTGAAGCTTGGTTGTGATTACTTAAGCTATCAAGGACAATGAAAACTTGAAACATTTCATAATTTTGATTGTTCGGTTCGTATTAACCAATCTCATATTGAACAACAGGAAGCAAGATTCCTGTCTCGGCTTTGTGGTCTCAAGGCAGGTGTGGAAGCAGTGATCACAAATGGAAGGGTACTATTTCTTAACTCTTTCTTAGCTGATACATCATGATAACTGACCGACACAGTGAGGATTGATTTTGGAGAAAATTTGGATGCCAATAATTACTGGTTACAGTTTGAGGTGTTTCTTTCTACCATGATACATTTTAAGTTTCAACATCTCACATGATTGAGGACTTGATTTAGGTATTTATCCAAGAACATGGAAACTATTTTGTCAAAGAGGACTTTTCTTTGTTGGATAATGTGGAGTATGAGAAGCGGGTAAAGCAGGTTGAAGAGCTGGTGGACAAGGTTGAGTGGAAAGATATTGAATCAGACGATTTGACCAGGTTTCGTCAAAAACTTAATACCATTGTTCTGATGTTTCCAATACAATATCTTGGCATATTAGAAGTACGTCCTCTATCTATACAACTACAGTAGTAACGCAGGGTTGACGGTTGCGGCAAGGCTGTGATCGTACATTAATGTCCCTTGCGCCTGTCTTGAGCTACATGTGTCTGGAGACTACACTTGGACGTTGCTGTTTAAAATGTATTGCAAACATGATATTCGAAAACTCGAAATGAGGCATCCTGACTAGTCTAATTTACGTGCTGCGAACTGGTTACTGATTTCATCACTAACCATGTAATGGACGTCTTTTACAATTGCCAGTGAATTTCTGAGTACTGCAATTATGGGAGTATCATCAGCGATGTCTGCACGCACTAAAAGTAGCGAATCTGTTCGCTTTGAATTATTGAAAGCAGAACACAGGTGAGCCAGGAGCATTTTCTTTTCTTTGATAGCTTCACGGTAGCAGTTCAATTGATACCATGATATATTTACCGTGGAATTTGTTTTTTGCTCATTTCAAATTTTCTTTTTTAATACCTCCAGTAAGCAACACATTGAAGAAAACCTCTTTCTATGAGGTTGATTGCGAGTTAGTTGAAGATATATTGATTCCTTGACCCTTATTTTTTTGGTGTTTTGTGGTTTGAATAGCGCGATCGTTAACCACATTGAGGAATCTCCAATCCACGTGGATGCGGTGATCGATCCATTGAGTGCTATAGGTCAGAAGTTGTCACCGATACTCGTGCTGCTCCAGGAATGGATGAAACCAAGCATGCGTATCTGTTTTAACCCCATGGCAAGCACCTCTATCTCCTGTGGACCTAACCTGCTTCGTTCTGCATTATTGTAGTTGTATTCAATTCGCTGCTGAATTGCAAATCACTAAGATCTACACATTGCAACGATGGTCAAATCTAAAACTACTATTTTTGTATTATGACAGAGCTCGCTAGCCGATCTACCACTGAAAAATTTCTACCGATTTGTATTGCCGGCGAAGGTAAGATTTATCACATCAGGCTTCACTGACCATTTCATGGGTAGTTGGATAGTCGCGATTGGTGATTAGTTTGGAAGATCTTCTATTACACGGCATCGATTACTGTGGTGTAAATATTGATTTTTGAACCAACATCAAATATAATGATTTGAGGAGATTTACTCGAATGACTTTCTTTTCTATCGATCGTTGAACAAGGGGTATTTCAGATTTCTGTCCTCAGACAGGTCTTTTATGGCATGGTACAGGATTCTTACACTACGGATGGCAATCTCACAACCGGACCCTATGCTCTTTTTTCCAACATGCCACCCTCCCGCACCCTTACGATGAATCTCGACGTTCCAGAACCATGGCTTGTAGAACCTGTTATTGCTGTGTAAGCGAACCCTTTCATTGCATGAAGAAAATGTAGGTTATATTGATGCATTGTTGTAATATTCTAAGTAAGGAATTTCTGGATTATCTAAAAGGAACTCGAGCAATTGCACGTCTTTGTTTCTTGAAAGCGGTAAACTGATTTAGGAATCGGATTGCTTGTCATTTATAATAATTTGGATAATCTTCTAACATCGTTGATTGATTTTCCTGTCGTGACATGCAGACATGATTTGGACAACATCGTATTAGAAAAGCTTGGAGATATTAGAACTATGCACGCTGTGTACGAGTTGGAAGCTTTAGTTCTCACTGGTGAGCAGCAATTTTTCCATGACCTTCTTTCCCTATATGTTTACCTTCAGTTCATTTATCTATCTCTACAGGAGCACGAATTTCCACTGACCTGTTACTTTTGTTAGTTTGATTTTCGATTAGACATCATCATGATATTTTTCTCACAGAGCACAGTGCGTGTCTGTATTGTTGTCACTCCTCTAGGTCATTTGGCGACTCTTCTTTAATACGTTTGATAGTCTGTAACCTATTCTCCTGTCCTACGACAATATCTTTGAGCTGAGAATTTTATATGATGCAGGGCATTGCTTTGAAAAAGAGAGCAAAGAACCTCCTCGTGGCCTCCAGCTACTTCTCGGCACCAAAGAACAACCTCATATGGTGGACACAATAGTTATGGCCAATTTGGGTTACTGGCAACTAAAAGCAGCTCCAGGTGTATGGACTTTAGAGCTTGCTCCTGGTCGGTCAACTGAAATTTATACACTCGGTGGAAAAAATGAAGGGACTGACGAAGGACCCACCTCAAAACGAATCATAATAAGTGATTTCAGAGGTCTTCCAGTACGGCTAGAAGTGGTCAAGAAGAAGGGCATGGAGAACGAGAAAATATTGGACGTAGAAAGGGACGAAGATAAAAAATCTAAGGTACTTAATGCACTTCCACATTCTCCTCATATGCGTGGATGTTTAGCCACACTAGATGAAGCCTCAAACTTTGATAAGACGCGTTTCTTCACATTTTTCTGTAAAAGATAATATATTGCTTTAATAGGACCTCGGCCGTAAGGTCAGCCCGAAGGTTTGCAAATATCTTGTATAACAGACCATGTTTTAGATAATTTTGTCATGTATAATGGGTACTTGGTGTGCTGGGTCAGGCTTCTTATATTGAGGAGAAGCTTGTGAAATCGGGGAAGTTAGTAGTGAAACTTGCTGCTTCTGTTCAGGAAGCACTATTCTTGGTAACGTGGGTTTTGATTAGATCTTTCACAAAAAAGTTGAAATTTTAACACACATGTGACTAACCGGAATGTAATCATTTCATTGAATAAAGCACTGAAATGTAGCTGCACATCACACTGTTAAGGCTGACGTAATGACGAACAGACCTGAAGGAAAAAGGAAAAAAATATCAGTTGCTTACTGTTCAAGGTTTGCTGATCGTCTTGCATGCACGAGTTTGGCAGAGGAAAAAATTTGAGAAAAATAAATTTATGAAGTGGGCATCTAGTTGGGTCGGGGTTGGCAAAGGAGCAAAGCGCATTGGATCTGTAATTACCATTTTCCACTCTTCCTTTTGTAACTATGCCGTAATTTTCTTCTATGTCGTTTAGGGTTTTAATATTCCTCGTGATTTATTTTATCTGACGAAAGTAAGGCTCTTGAGCTTTTGCAAGACATGACATGGGTTGCGTGTGCAGGATGGAGGCAAGGTTATCAGGGAAGGAGAGACGATTAACATTTTTTCAGTTGCTTCTGGACACTTGTACGTTCTTTTGAGCCTTTATATCTCAGCAAGAAAGGATGTAACCAGGAAACCATGGTAACATAGTACTCAAGAAAATCACGTCATTGTTATCCAAGTTATAACAGCATGCCCTGCATGCTAGCTTGATGATACTAAGATTTGGTCTGTGTGGGAAAGGCAGATACGAGCGGTTTTTGAAGATTATGATGTTGAGTGTGATGAAGAACACAAACCGACCTGTTAAATTTTGGTTCATAAAGAATTACTTATCCCCTCAATTTAAGGTTTGATTCTTTCCTTTATGAAACTAACAAAACTATGCTTTGGTGAACTACTTAGCTTATTGTTTAATAATTCTTGTTGAAAATTACGGGTTGAAAATTGCGGGTTTAGAATTGAGATTTGAAGTTTTTTAGGATTACCAACTCATCTACTTCGCTTTGTTCTTATGAAATAGTCATCATTAGAAAAAGGACGAAATTTACAGTGATATTTGCCTGGCATTAGTTCTCTTCCATGTATTTGTATTCTTAAGTGTAAGCGTGTAACTGCAGGGTGTAATTCCTCACATGGCTCGTGAATATGGATTCGAGTACGATCTGGTGACCTACAAGTGGCCTTCTTGGCTGCACAAGCAAACAGAGAAGCAACGTATCATTTGGGCTTACAAGATTTTGTTTTTAGATGTTCTCTTCCCGCTCTCTCTGAAAAAGGCAAGTTCACTTTCATATACTGGATAACTGAACTCTCTATTCAGATTTGAACTGCAACTGTTCTAGACCTAATTTCTTTGTTCTACAAAATTAGTTTGTCATAATGATGTTTGTTATGTGTCTCTTTCACCACTGCATTCGCCGGTTCAAGCTTGATTAGAAGTCTTGTTGGGGTAAGTTTACTCTGAAGCCTAAAACTTGCTGTCTCGTGTTTGCTTACGTGCACAGGTGATATTTGTGGACGCTGATCAAATAGTAAGAGCTGACATGGCGGAGCTGTATGATATGGACATGGATGGAAAACCACTAGCTTACACACCCTTCTGCGACAACAATAAAGAAATGGATGGTTTTCGATTTTGGAACCAGGTAAACATTATGTTTTGCATACTTGAGCTTCAGCTTCATCTCGTTTCAACCTGACCATAGAGCAAGATATTGTTTCACTTCTTGCACCGAGTTACATTAAATTGGTTTGGCCTATGGATAAGCCAATCGCTTGAAATTGAAACACGCCAAGCTTTAAAATTTACTTTCCGCTAAAGAAATTTTGAGCCTTTGGGTACTAGGGGTTTTGGAAGGATCATTTACGAGGAAAGCCCTATCACATCAGGTATGTTTCACTACACCTAGAATTGAGAAGTTCATTCTTCACTTTCAGAATTTGTCTAGATATTGTGTATCCATCAGCTTTTCATGTACAGAATTGGACGTCGGACGTTTTTCTGATCTCTTAGCATCACTCACGTTACTCCAGAATGATGTCCAACTCTATTTTTGTTCTACATTTGCTGCTCATGGTTTTACTTCATAGTCGCTTTGCCCTGATACTGATCTACTCTCTGCTATATAAGCAGTGCCCTCTATGTAGTGGATCTTGTGAAATTTCGTCAGTCAGCTGCAGGAGACAATTTGAGAGTATTTTACGAGAGTCTGAGTAAAGACCCCAACAGTCTCTCCAACTTGGACCAGGTTAGTTAGAATAGTACATTAACGAGAATGTTTTGGCCAGACTACGGAATGCATGTACAGCCCTTTGAATACTCCAACTCTGTTCAATTTGAGCTCCCAGTCTCCTGAAGCAACCGTCTTACTTTATTCCATCACACGTAACTGACAACTCATCTGGATACAGGACTTGCCAAATTACGCCCAGCACCAAGTGCCAATCTTTTCCTTACCCCAACAATGGCTTTGGTGTGAGTCATGGTGTGGGAACGCAACCAAGTCTCAGGCTAAGACTATCGATTTGTGTAACAATCCCATGACGAAGGAGCCTAAGCTAGAAGTAAGTCATGATTTAATTATTTGTTACCACTTCTCTCTCTCTCTCTCATTTCGCCCGACTTCTACAGTTATAATTTCTTACTGTAGCCTTTGATCCCCACGCTGTTTTCTCACAGGGAGCCAGACGCATTGTAGCGGAGTGGCCACAACTCGACCAGGAAGCCCGCGACTTCACAGCTAGGGTCCAACAAGTGGCACCTGAGATGGAACCGCAGCCGTTGAGTTCTGTCCATGTAGAAGAAGTATTGAAATTCGAAGAGCAAGATGTAGCAAGAACTAAGAAAGATGGCTCGGTATCTGGTAGTAGTGTAGACAAAGAGTCAGCTGCAGAGCTATAAAGTTTTTGTCTATCTATGGTGGCATTATTGACTACCTACATGAAATGACACTGTCCAACCTTCACCTTCGTGTGACTGGCCTCCAGTTCCAGTATACCAACCTTAATCCACAAATGCAATTAACTATGACTCGAACCATGCACACGCACACTCGCTCCTCCGTTTGTTAGTCATCCAACGCACCCCCAGCAAGGGCTGGCAAACCCTTCACCTCCCGTAACTGAACGGGGTTGATGGACATTTCGAAAATACTATCGGACAGCGTAAGCATTACTCGGTGACACTGCGAGATATTTGTGTACATAGTGATAGTTGACCAAGCGAGAGCCTAAGTGATCTTATTAGCGACATCGAATCGAAGCTCGCGGATTCTATCCAGTAAAAGAAGCCAGTTCTCAATTGCAACCAAGGGTACGAATAGCTGTGGCCCCACAATCAAGTAGTCTGGCAGTCGGGTCTAGGATCTCGAGGACCAGAGCGAGTTCCCCTTCCGATTGGTCGCCTTATCCCTTGCGCTACCGATGACCAATCCCCACCTCTTATCCGCTTTGGCGAGGCCCCTACACTCTGCCCAACTCCATGCTTTACACACAACCGTAGCCATAGGAACCCAAGGTGTATTTGAACTTCACTAACTGTGTACGGCAATTGTGGTTTCTCGTGCCTGTATATTTCCGCTCTCTTGCAGAGAGCCGACACCAAGCTAAGTGGAAGTGATCGTGGCAGCCATGGCAGCCTCAGTTGCCTCCGTAGGGTGCAAGGTTACTGCCGCTTTGGCCTCCAGCGCCAAGGTCGAGAAGATTCAAGCTGTGAGGTCCGTGTCTATGAGCAATGCGTTCGGCCTCAAACCTGCAGTCGCGCGCGTCTCCTGCAACCTGGAGGAGAATGTCAAGAGCATTGTGGACAACGCCAAGGCCGCTGCTATCGTCTTGGCTTCCTCTGCACTCGTCGCAGGCGTAAATTCTGAAACTCAGCTTAATGTTGCCTTTCTTATCCGTATCAAATTTCAAACAAGTCGCCATGACGTGCTGTGGCTGCCGATAACCGTAGAGAGCGACCGATTATAAGAATTCAATTTTACAGCTAGAAGGTTGGTCTCATCAAAAAATTACTTGTAGCGACTCTACGAATCGAAACACTGATTTTGGTTTCACCTGTTACGGATTTCTATGCAGGCCGCATTCGCCGAGGGAGTGCCCCAGAGGTTGACTTTCGATGAGGTGAATGCTCAAACCTACATGGATGTCAAGGGATCAGGAACAGCTAACCAGTGCCCCATTGTCGCTGAGGGATCTGACAAGTTTGCCTTCAAGGACGGGAATTACACCATGAGGAAGTTCTGTCTTGAGCCCACCTCCTTCACTGTGAAAGCCGAGTCTCAATTTAAAGGAGGCAACGAGGGTTTCCAACCCACTAAGCTCATGACCCGATTGACCTACACCCTGGATGAGATCGAGGGTCCTCTTACCGTTCAGAATGGAAACCTGAGGTTCGAGGAAGTGGATGGCATTGATTATGCTGCCGTGACCGTGCAGTTGCCAGGAGGTGAAAGGGTTCCCTTCCTCTTCACAGTTAAGGAATTGGTTGCTGAGGGAAAGCCTGAGGCATTCGGTGGATCCTTCTTGGTGCCGTCATACAGAGGTTCCTCATTCTTGGACCCCAAGGGCAGGGGTGGATCCACCGGGTACGACAATGCCGTGGCTCTCCCCGCTGGTGGAGCCGGAGACGAAGAGGAGTTGGCGAAGGAGAATGAGAAGAACACCGCTGCCTTGAATGGCAACATTACCTTCAGCATTGCCAAGAGCAACGTCCAGACCGGTGAGATCGCAGGAACTTTTGAGAGCTTTCAGCCATCGGACACCGATTTGGGGTCGAAGGCACCCAAGGAAGTGAAGATTGAGGGTATTTTCTACGCCCAGCTAGACTAAGTGGAAGATTATTGGACGGCCGCGGCTGTTGCCACCTTTGGTTAGGTTTGATTGATGTTTATACACAAGTCGAGGTTCTTTGTAATGCACTCTGCCCAGTCTCTCAACGCAATTTGTCGATGACCTCGTGCATGGCGGCAGAAAGCAATATGTTCATGCACAGGAGTATGAGATTTTATGCTGATAGAAATTGATACCTTGAAAAATTCATTTCATATCTCTCAACCTCTGAATTGCAGTAGCCAGAAATCTTTGAATTTTATGAGATTGGAATATATTTTATTAGACAATGTAGAATGGATCAATGTTTCTCTACAGAATTACTTGAAATCTCGTTCGTATTTACAATCTTGAAACATGCAACTGTAAATGGAACTTTAAGTATCAATTCATTGTGGAAAGGATCGAAATAAGATGCTACCTAGTAAACTATTCGTGTTCGAAACAGATGTCTTCAGCAGTCAAATAAATGCTTCTATATATCCGCAGGCCAGATCCAGCACAATAAAAGCACTAATGAATATTCATATTACCCGCATCACAAATTCGAAGGCAGAATCTGCGGAATCTCTTGTAGATACTACCTTTCAAACCAATATATAAAACCCTTCACTGGATGTGAAACTGACTAAAAAACATCCATTATCATCAGTACCTACTAAACCAGATAGAACGGTTAACACAAATCGATTATCCCACTTCTATAGACATGCCTTGACCATGGACATGTTTGGGTACAGATGTCCTCTATGGACTGCTAGACCTGTTCGAGAAGAGGACACCAATGTGCATAAAAAAAGCTCGGAATAAACGCAAATGAATAAACATACTCCTGCTCATTCGGTATATCAACTCTCAGCTTTGGTGAGCGAGGTTATGGAAGTAGTGTGTTTGCCGTAGGCATCCTTGTTTTGGCCTGCCCCTCACATCTGTGGCTACCCTTGTAAACACCTAAAGCAGAGAGAAGAGGATTGAGAATCTTAAAACTGGAAAAACACGTTAAGCAGTGAGTAATTTGCAGAGGCAAATCAAGGGGAGTGAAGTGATTAATACTACTTCCACACTCGATCAATCATACTCATTCCCACGGAAATTTTACCCCTTAATTATCAGCAACTTCAAATGTGCTATTACTATCCTGATAAGCCCACCAACCCCATTTCACTCCTAATATTTTTGTGCTGAAAAATAACTGTTGTAGACACGAGAGTTACAGATGGGTCTACCAAAATTGCACTAGTTACGCAGAGCATTCCACAATTCACGTGATTTTCTTTCTCAATATGAATTCTGCATAATGTAGCAAATGCAGACACTTGACTTTACCAGACAAATTCCATATCAGATATGAAAATATTCACCAGAATAGGTGCTATTTAAGTTCGTTCAAACAGTTTCCAGACTTATGTCGAAGTCTAAAGGTAACTAACTACGTGAGCTCATCACCTTCTTTGACAGCCTCCTCGCACCGTTTGTTATACTGGACTTGAAGATGCGGTTCCAGCTCTGTCAACAGAATTTGATACTTGTCTTCACTTCTTCCAATAAAATCAGCCTGTACATTAGGTGTCTTATGATTAGGCATGAGATGAGGTGAATACTCAAGCACTAAAATAAATATAAAAAAATAGAAACAAGCACCAATAGTGCCAAATTGTAACATAGTCAACCCCTGATGGATACGGGAATTAGTCAGACATGAAAACTCACAAGCATTGTTGGGGCTTCACTAGGCCCGAATATGTACAAAAACATTCGAAGCACGTTGAAGCTATTCTTGCCTATATCTGCCTGCACATGTAAATCGCTGCTGTAGTTTTCCATCTTACTATGAAAGTTTTCTTACATACTACCAGCATTAAACAGGAGCTGAGCACAACGTCCAGAAGTGGTACAAGGTAATGGGAACCACCTCATAGTCGTACCTGCGATACCAGAAATAAATGAGATCAAAGTTTTAGTAGGTACCCCAATGAAAGGAAGCTCATCCACCAGCACGAAATGTAATCAAGCAAAGCAGACTACAGATTCATGAAATTTCAAGGTCTGTTCATCAGGGATTGTTTGTGCAGTAATTGAATTCTCACTTACAAATCATCAGCCATCTCCACGAGAAGCTCCGAGATAGAAAGAAACTCAAAGTGCGCCTCATTGACCTGTTCAGTTTTAATAACCCATGTAACAATGACGTTCAAAACAGTTCAAAACATAACTCTGCATGTGACACCTTTTGAACAAAGTAATCTGAAAGTTAAATATTAACTTGAACCAAAGTCAAGTAGGAATTTCAATGCCAAACACCTTGTCAGGATCTTAGAAGGTGAACCAAGACTCTGCACTGAAGGTAGAGTGCTAACCGGTTCATTGCGCAAACCATACATGAGAAGGTTTAGCACACGATAGTCAAATGACTTGAGGCGTAAAGCTTCCACAACATCATCAGCCTTAACCTGATAAAACCATAATATTACTTGAGAATGTACCCGCTTCCGATTATACAAGAAAATGAGCGTATTAAAGAAAACAATCAGCAATATTTACCAAAATTGGAACGAAGCCCAATAAGAGACGAAAGTCCTGCAGAACTTGCCTCTTCTTTAGCTGAAATCGCAGTACAAAGAATATGCTCCAAATGCCAATAATGAAGACCATTCATTAGCTCATCTTCAATCCTACACCCAATGCCTGCCTCATAGTCAGCTTCCATGAGTAGAGCTGACACGGTTCATTCTTGTGCAACCACACAAATGCTACCTCTTCAGAAACAGAATACTGATTCCCGAGCAACGAATGTTCCTTCATTCTACTCTCCTATAATTCGGGTTTCTATCGCCTTTGGTATCAAGTTGAAAAGCACATTGTAGTCGAAATGATTGTGATATAAAGCAGCATTAGTTAAAACATGATTCAAGCTGTTTACCTCTTTGTTAGTAAATCATGTTCCTGCAGTACAACTCGCAATCCTGCGAATGGATCCTTTCCTAATCCACTTGCGAACTCACTTGAGACCTCGCATGAAGGTTTTGAGTCTCCCGTTAATGCTGAAAAACATAATTGATCTTCGTTCTGCTCATCTAGCTATGTATGCAACCAATGCCACAACAACCGTCTCCTCAAATGATAATATTTGAAAGGTTCTGAGATTAATAAGGCTCTAGATACATTTCAAAAACCTATGCATGTCTAAGCCGAGGGTGATGCTTTAATTTCCACATGTTTCTGCCACCACGAGAAGTTCATCAACACATGAAGGGGACTTCCAATTTATCCCCATTGAACTCATCACCCAGGTCTAAGAGTATTAAAACCATTCTAGCCCCTTGCACGAAAAGAACCGCGTACAGGACAAACCTGATATATGTAGGACTCGACAAAGACAAGGAGCGGCAGGTAGCGAAAGACGTGAATGGGATTGTGCACGTCCATGTTATGAAACATAAAGTACGACCTGCACTGTCACCAGCGACCCCATTATCACCTAGCACTCAGCCCAGCGGATTCAACATATTCAACCTTGTTGAACTGAGAAAAACTCCGTCAGCAAACTACAAACTTATTGAAGTATTTACTGGATTGTAGGTTTGTGTTCCAGCTTGAGCTTTATCACAAAACTACAAAACCCTCGACCTGAGGCACGTGCATACATTACACATCACATAATTGGTGATCCTTAATGCGAGGAGTCACGATTTACTTACAAAATCTTCAAGTGTGGAGCGAGCCCTCTCCATGCTCTTAAAACTTATCAGGCAATTCACTACACCACCTTCGTATGATGCACTTCTGTGGTCTGGCGTCGTCAATGTTTTCTCTCTTACAAATGGGCTCATCTCTGAATTCTTACTCCTTCGATGACCTTTACGATTACTTTTAGGCGGAGTCACATCCTCGATCTTGAGCTCATCTCCTGGGCTCCTGGGCGAGTTAGGTACTGATCTACTACCAGCAGCTGCACAGCAATTAACCCAATTGAAGCACATGATAATATCAAAGAAGTTAAGATGGCTCTTCATTATGAACTGATTACCAGACACAGCATCTAGACATGAGAATAATAACACAATAGTTGGAATCAACTACAAAGATTCTGAGATCAAAGTAAAGCAATTTTGCAAGTGTCAGCGTGAACAAAGTAAAGCAGTATTCAAGTGCCAGGGGAGCATTCCGGTCACCAAATTGGTGAAAACCACAGGAAAACAAGAAAAGAAAAATAAATTAACAAGGGAATCAACAAACCTGACGCATTCGCACATGCCATCTCATCAAACAAGGATGTCCTCATCATCTGCTATCACGGAATTGCTATTTTATTAATGAAAGGTATACACCTCCTTACAATCTCTATCTCCATCATTCCATAAACTGGGACCTCAGCTGGAAGAGTATCCCTGGCAGCTGGTGTAAAGAAGTTGACTCATTTTGGCCAAGTTAATACCAAGAGCAGATGAGATGAGTAAAACAATGTTCTCGATTCAGTGAATAGCCAATCACCTTCGGAATTGCATGTACCAACACTCCACATAGCTCCTCCATCTCGGCAGAATTCCCGGCCGATTCACCCTATGTCAGCAACACATACAACACAATCTCATTATAAATGGTAGGGAAGTTCCCAATCCTTATAATTCTACCTCCTTCCTACTGAATTCATAGCATCGTGCATTCATGAACGAATTCCTCTCCGCATCCACAGAGCTCCTACTGAAACACCCCTTTTAACTCTAATATGGTAATCTTACACCCCGACCCCTTCCGAAGAGATCGTACTAAGTAAATTCAATTGTAACTAGGTTCCCAATGCTCAATGCAGATATCATCAAAGCAAGTGACTCCAAATCCTTCACCATCGAACACTTTTGCACCATATAGGGGTGTGTGCATCAAGATTGCTTCGCCAAACGCACTTGAAACACGATCTCGAGGATCCACTCACCAGCAGCAGGAGAAAATCAGCGAGAAATCGGTTGGAAGGGCTGTGGGTAGTGATGATATCATGGGTATGAAGAAGCCGAAGGTGGGCATGAACTGCTTGCAAACGCTCCAGTGCCTCCATTGCTGATGCTGGATCTATGTCGCTCTCCCTCTCTCACTCTCTCAATCTCCTTCGTTCTCATCTAATCTCCTATCACAGCTACTCCAATTAATACCAAACTCTTCCGACAATTCAAACTCTCTACACACAACCGTTCAGTCGACGGGCGCAGATGTGCGTATCCGCCATTCCCATCTCGCCGAACCAAAGGCAAATTATCATATTCAACTGGAATGCTAAAAAAAAGATCTAGATGCTCACATCTGCCCTGTCATGGACACCAATGCAAATGTTCCACCCTTTGTTGGGCATTCATCTCTACTTCATCGACTTGAGCACAACTTTCATTCGCCGCTGCAAAATCCACACATAATTTGCCGTTCTTATGTAAAAAAAAAATAGTGACGTTCATGCATGCATGGATCTTATCACTGTTGGGGGTACATGGAATAAGCTCTGAACTCATAAAGTGAGCGTGTTTTTGACTTGAGGGTTCGGGTTTAATGGTACAACCACAGCTATGCCGTTGACTGCTTCAAGACACACAGCCTATATGGGGTTCAACTTCCAAACTAACTTGAATGTACTGCTGAACATGCTCCTCTAGATGCAGGGAGAGAGACAGAGAGTGTGTGTGTGAGATTCTGTCAGTGTGAGAAAACAAAACAATACCCCTTCAAAAGCTACAGAGGTATTGCAGTCCTAAGCAGAGAGCCATTTGGATTAGCTTCTCCTCTGGATGAGTATAACCCACAAAGCCACAAAGTCATGCTGCCAGAGCAGTAACTTTCTTTTGTCCTCACTGGATACTAACTTGGGGGTGGGCTCACAAGGATATTAATTTCAATAACACTACTTCAGTGTTTGTCTGGTTTTTTAAAAACAAGGGAAAGGCGCAACGAGGAGGAGGAAAGAAAGGGATTGGTGCCGTTTATATGACCAAATCATTTCACTCTGTAGAGAACTACTCATTGATGCTGCAACTCTCAAACACATCTCCAAAAACTAGTTTGAAACCGAGATGATTTGATCCCACTACTTTAGAAACTAAGTAGTTTATGATGGGGGGAGGAGGGGACCCAATTCTATGAACAACTTTATTATTATTGTTGTTGTTGTTATTATTATTGTTATTTTCCTGTTGAAGCAGTGGTAATTAAAATCAAATCGGAAATTGATCTCTGCCTACAGTACTATTCCTACTCCTCCTGCTGTAACTAATACTATCATTATTCTCAGTGAAGCTGATAAACCAGGTTCCTTGTTCCCAGCACACAACTGCTCCACGTCATGATTCCTCTCTCACGATACAAAAATGTATGTTTCAGCGCAAGATTTAACAAATAAAAATAAAAATAAAAATGTCGTGCTTATTCATGCAAGCCACCTGATCTCAAAGCAAACATGCTGGAAAATGACCTTCCAGTAGCAGATCTGATAACACAGAATATAAATATACACATACAGATACACACAAGCACACACAAGCACACACATCTAATTGTAGGTTCTAGTGTACAATATTATGTCGTTCTCTGTATCTACACCCTTTTTTATTTTGAGGGAAAGTAATTTTAATTCTTGTTCATATCCTTGATGGCATTGGTGGACAAGCGCTGACACCAACAAGCAGGAGCACAAACAAACTCTGCCATGTCAGTTGGCCCAGTGCATCAGTTCCACTACCCCCTCCCCCACCCCACCCACCTCTACAGCTTTACTGCCAGCTCAGATATAATACATATATGGATAGGGAATTGTTAAATTGACCCATGCATTTATTAAATCAACCTACCCATCATCATTGGTTGCAAAGCCAACTATTTTTTCATTGGTTTTCAACTAATACAAATCCAGCAATAGAGATTTTTTTTGATGAAAGTTAGAATGGATGGGTCGATTTAGTAAATGCTTGGTTCAATATAACAATTCTCTCTCTATATATATAGAAAAAATCTTTAAATTTTTTTGGTTTGCTTGTATAAAAATGAAGAGCAACCAAAAACTGATTGTTATATATATATATATATATATATAGTAGCAGAATTATTGCATTATTTCGAATTACTTGGATATTGTCTCATTTACCATATTAAAAATAATAAGCTAAATTTAATGCATATACATTGCAAAACTCTATACATTACAAATAATTAAGAATTTGCTTCACAGCCATGAAGCAACTTGTGTAAAACTAGGAGCACAATCTTATTCAATGCAATGGTCTTAAGGTAATATAACCTCATTATGTAATGTCCATTTGGTAGTATTAACAATTTATCATTCATTATCTATGGTGATTTTATAGTTTCACAAATTTATTTTAATATTTTTTCTTGTTTAAAAAGTGGCAAGCTTGAAATATTATTTTAAAATACTAATGAATAATAATTAATCCACATGATGCTTTATTGTGTAAATTTTTTAATATATATATGTGTATGTATAATCTTATTGTCTTTGATGTATTATAATTTATCATTCATAATTTATAAATATATTATTATTATAATTTTAGACTTTTATTTGTACATATTATTAAAATATATAAATAAATGTGAAAATATAATAAATAACATTATAGAAGATATTATTTTAGGTAAATTGCTATTGGTGAAAGGGTTGGCTCTTGGTATGTAAGAAGGCCAAGAGATAAAGTAGATGAATAGACCAAGGATCTTAAGAGTATAAAAAATATGCTTAAGGTATATTTTTATAGTAGATAAGATAATAATAGATAGTCTCGGTAGAATGTTGGATAGATGTATTCATCAAAAGATGGAAGTTGTCTATTAGGACAATAACCAGCACTTATAAATAATGGATATTGGAAGTGAGAGATATCTTACTCCATACTCTCTTTGTATGCAATCTTACTGATGCTAAGTATTGTGACTTCATAATACTTGTTCTTCAATAGGTTATGAGCCCATTCATTTTTAGTTGTGAATTTTGAAGTTCTTTAAAGTCTTACTTGTTGTAAGCAGTAGAACTTTAGGTTGTTGCTGATGTTAAGAATTGGTATCATCTAACTCTATTATTGCATCTAGTTGTTGATGTAGTTTTGATCTTACTTGTTATTAAGTGTATTAATAGTTTTGGAGATTGTTACATACCTTAAAAATAATGTTTTAAACACTAGTATTGTGTTTCTTTGCTGATTTACATCATTTGTGATCTAAAATTGTGGTTTTATATAGTAAACTACTTTTGAGATCCTCTTATAGTAATAAGAAGTGTTTTATGAGATTAGAAGTATTTTATGAAAGAAGAGGGATGATTGAGGAGTAGCAAAGCTTATAGAAGATGTTTAAATAGAATATAAGACTTATAAAAAGTCCTATAAGTGAAGTTGAGAGTGATTTAAGAGTGATATTACTTATTCACTTACAAAGAAGGTATTCTCAGTTTTTGAAGGCACCAACATCTTCTTGTTGATTTTGAAATTTCTTTCTTCTCTTTTTCTTGATTTTCTTTGATACATCTCTTTTTTAGATATGGCTTGAAGTAAAAGTGAAGGTTTGAGAGTGATTGAGAAGTTTAGGGGTTACAACTTCTATCATTGGAAGAAAAGATTGGAGCTTTTGTTGGATTTATTGGACCTTTAGGACATTGTAGATAAAAATGAAGAAACTCTAAGTGACAATATTGATGTCAAGATGAAGAAGGAGTACAAACATTGTGAAAAGAAGACTTTTGGCATGATTGCATCAAATTTGGATGATGCCAATTCTTCACATATAATTGCTTGCAATAGATTAGCATAAGTATAGAAGACTTTTTACAACATCTATGTGAATAAAAACCTTGCCAATATTCTCTAGACAAAGAGGAAGTTTTTAACAGTAAAGATTGAAGAAGAAAATGACCTCATAGGTCATGTCAATAAGGTAAAAGCACTTGCAAATAACTAGAACTTGTTGACAAGTTAATTAATAATAAAGATATTGTGTTGAGATTGCTCGTGAGCATTTCTGAGTCCTACAACTATCTCATTAAGGCATTAGAATCTATCAACATTAAGGAGCTTATTATGAATTATGTCACGTCAAAGCTTGCCTATGAAGTGAGTAAGAGAAAAGAAAAGAAGCTTCAAAGTGATGATTCAACTTTATTTTTAAGACAAGGCAAAAGTAACTATTGTCATCAATGTAATAATTTAAAATATAACATGAGAAATTACTATATTTATAAAAAATCAAATCACTTTGCTATGAATTGCTACAAAACCAAGAAAAGAGATAAAAAAAAATACAAATAATGCTTGTGATAACTTTGATAGAGATGATTATGCTTTTATAGTAAGTGAAGTAGCCTCCATGGTTGCTATGTCTAAGTGGATTATAAATTTGGGTGCTACTAAGTACATGATACTATACAAGTATTCATTTGACACTTATGAAGAAATTTTAGTAACCAAAGTTTGGTTGAGAGACAATAGCATAGTATAAGTCATTAGAATTGGATCGATTATTGTAGAAATTGTTTTGAAGAACCAAATCAAGAGGATTAGATTGAACGAAGTCTTACATGTGCCAAAGATGAAGAAGAACCTCTTTTTGGTCAACAAACTTATATCATATGGTTGTAAGATTTAATTTGCTAAGAATGGATATTTTGTGAAGATATTGAGTGAACAACATATTTTCAAAGGCCTTAGACATGGCAACATCTACTTTGTTAATTATAAGAAGGTAAATAGAATAGAAGTGGCAACATTTTCTCATTTTCTACAAGATCAAGATAAGTTTGGAATTTGGCATGAACAACTTGGTCATTTGAATGCCAAAGGCATGAACGATCTCCAATCTATGGTAAGTCGCTTGGATCTTTGTAAATTCAGCCATAATACCTTGATACTTGCTTGTAAATGATGTACATAAGGCAAACAACAAAAGGCTTTATTTCCAAGAAGAGTTGCAACATGTGTAAGTAAATTTTTGGAAATTATGTATTTTGATGTTTGTCGACCAATGAAGACACCATCAATTGGAGGAGCAAGATAATTTGTCACATTTATTGTTAATTTTTTAAGAAAAGTATGGATTTACATCATTGAAGTCAAGACTAAATGTTTCTTAAGGTTTAAGGAGTTTAAAGCTCTTATAGAGAAACAACGTGAGTGCAAGTTCAAAGTGTTGTGCACGGATAATGGAAGTGAGTACATATCAAAATATTTTGATGAATTCTTAAAGATTCGAGGTGTTGTAAGACAATCATCTACTCCCTATATTCTATAATAAAATGGAGTTGTTGAAAGAACAAATCATACTATTATGGAGATGGCAAAGAGTATACTTCATGCACAAAACCTTGGGCATGAATATTGGGCAGAAGCAGTGGTAAATGTAGTGGATACAAGGAATAGGTGCCTAATAAGTGCACTTACATCAATGACTTCATAAGAAGCTTAAAGTAATAAGACATCTTCTATTTCATACATGAATTTTTTTGGATGCATTGCCTATGTAAAGGTACTAGATTGTATGAGGTCCAAACTTGATGCAAAAAGTATAAAATGTGTATTTTTTGGATATTATAAAGATATGAAGGCATATAGGCTAATATGTTTAGAAACTAAGAAGATCATCAAGAATTGTGATGTAGAGTTTTTGGAGTATAAGAGTGCTTATGAAGACTCAGAGATGTGTCTAAGTGAGAGTAATGGTATATTTGTAAACACAACTTTAATTTCAATAAAAGAAAAAGAAGATGATGATAACATTGATGATGGTGGAAATTCAAATCAAGATGAAGAATCAAAGAAAGTAGAATATAGTGTGCTTATAATTGCTAAAACCAATAATGAATACTATCAAGATGTTAAAGATGATGCTGATGATGATGATGATGATGATGATGAGTACCAACCTTTGAATGTGAAAAAATAAGTTTTAAGAGAGAAGAAGCTTACAAGAAACCTAAGAATAAAAGAAGGTTAAGCTTCATCAAGTGAAAGGAGATATCTTTTGAGAAATAAAAAATAACTTGGTGCATAGTAGAAGAATCACATCTTTCTTCAAGCAAGTGAAGAACATGCCAATGTTATATTTCTTGCTGATCCATTGAGTTTGTATAATGCAATGAAATCCACAAATGCTATGAAGTAGAAGAATACGATAGAAGAAGAGTACAAATCACTCATGGACAATGGAACATGAAAATTGACTCAACTTCTACCAAATTGATCTTTAATTGGTTGTAAGTGGGTATTTAGAACCAAAAAAAAATGCAATGGAAAATATTATAAGATACAAGTCTAGATTAATTTCCGAAGACTACTCACAAGTTTTTGCTATTGATTTCAATGAAACATTTGCTCTCGTGGTGAAATTCACTACCATTAAAACTATTGTTGCAATTGGGGCAGTAATGGACTTTGAAATACATCAAATAGATGTGAAGACGGCTTTCTTAAATGGAAAGCTAAAAGAAGACATCTACATGGATCAACCACAAGGATTTGTAGAAGAAGAGAAAGAATATCTTATTTTTAAGTTGAAAAAAACTTTGTATGAACTTAAGCAATTTCTAAGGGCATGATATCAACATATTAATATATTCTTTGTAAATAAAGGATTTTTAAGGGGTGAATTTGATCATTCTTTACATGTGATGGAATCAAGTGAATTCATATTGATTGTCATCCTCTATGTTGATGATTTGATCATCTTAACCAATATTATAAAGATGATGGATTGATTGAAGGCAAAATTAAAAAAGGAGCATAAGATGAGTGTTTTGGAAGAGCTTGACTATTGTTTAAAAGTGGAGTTTGTGAGAGATCATACTAAAAAGACCATTACAATGAGCCAAAGCAAGTACATTGAAGAAGTATTGAAATGATTTAATATGGAAGAGTTTAAGCCTATTGGAACACCTTTGGAGGCTAATTTAAAGTTGATGAAGCTCACAGATGAAGAATTTTCTAAAGTTGAAGATCAAATACAAGGTGTTCTATACAAAGAAACAATAGGTTCATTTATGTATGCAATGGTTGACACAAGGGTAGATCTTGCATATATAGTAAGTGTTGTGAATCAATACATGTCAAAGGCTGGACCAATCCATTGAGTAACCATAAAAAGGATCATGAAATACTTAAAAGGCACTTTATATCTCAAATTAAATTTTAGAGGTGATAACATTAGTTTCTATGATTATTGTGATGTGGATTGGACTAAAGATATAAATGATAGAAGATCAACAACAAAATATGTATTCTTTGTTGGAGTAGAAGCTATCTCATGGAATTACAAGAAATAACTAATAATTGTAAGATCAAGAATAGAAGCAGAATACATGGCAACAAGCCATAGTACAATGGACACAATATGGCTTAGACAACTTCTAGAGGACATTAGAGTATTGCAAAGGAAAGCAACTCCAATGGAGTGTGATAATCAAGGATGTTTTTTATTTACAAAGAATTAAAAGCATCATTCAAGGACCAAGCACATTAATATTTAATATTACTTCATAAAAGAGAAGATTGAAATGGAAGTGATTGATATGAAGTATTGTACAACAGTAGACATGTTTGGTGATTTGTTGACAAAGACACTAGTAAAGAATAGACATTATATGTTGACAAAGGTATTAGGATTAAAAATCTTTGACTAATAGCAAAGTGAAAGTGTTAAAGTATATAAGTAAATATGAAAGTAGAATAAGTAACATTGTAGAGGATATTATTTTAGATAAGTTGCTATTAGTTAAAAGGTTACCTCTTGATATATAAAAAGGCCAAGAGATAAAATAGATGAATGAATCAAGGAGCTTACGAGTATAGAAAATATACTAAAGACATATTTTTATAGTAGTTAAGATAATAATGGATAGTCTCAATAGAATGTTGGATAGATATATTCATCAAAGGATAGAAATTGTTGATTAGGGTAGCAATCACGACCTATGAGTAATAAGTGTTGGAAGTGAGAGATATCTTAATCCATACTCTCTTTGTATACAAACTTATTGATGTTAAGTGTTGTAACTTCATAGTGCTTATTCTTTAATATACATTACATCTTTTTATATTTTTATTGGCAATTGTGCTATAAATCTCATATATTATTAAAATTTTGAATTTAACTTTTATTTTTTATGGGACTTTTTTTAAAAAACTTATGATTAAATTGGTTAGATTAATTTTTTTATGATTTCTTTTTAATTGTTTTATCAAATTTTCTTAGTATTCAAATATATTTTTTTGGAGAATTGAGCCAATACCTATTTTTATTGTTGATTATCAAACACATCTTCAACCAAACACTTATTAGTACATGAACTAAAATAACATCATCTCAATAATAATATTGATTTATTTATATGATAAGAAAGAAAAATATTAATATTTTATAAATATGATTATATAAATATATATACTATATATAATTTTTATTAGCCTAAAATAAATAAATTTAATTAAATTATTTTTTGTATATATATATATATATATAAAGTTATTGTTAATGTCATTGCACTTTTTGCCATTGCAACCTTCTATCCACAACATGCCACCTTTGTTCAGTATCTTTAAACCAATGAACTTTTTTATTATCAATAACTTTCAAATCATTTTATTGGAATTAAAATAAAATAAAAAATAAAAACAAAAAAAAATAAAAATATATGTTGAATGGATGGTAGATTATAGTGGTAGTGACAAAAATTGGGGTGGCATTGACAATATCCTATCTATCTATGTAGTTTGAAAACCCATAAGAACCTTAAACCACTAAAGTTCATATTAATGCAAAATATCTTACAAAAGAATTGCAACAATCATTACCCTTTCTAATTCAATTAACAGACACTTGTAAAGTATATAGTAATCAAACTAATGTGTGTGTTTGTCAATACAATGCATGCAGCTTCTCACACCTTTGAAGTGTAGCATACTTGATATCAACAAACTAAGTTCTGAGCAGCATTTCTTTTAAGAAAAAGGAACAGGGGAGAAAAAGAATAAAAAGTGGAGATGAGTGAGCCAAATTATTCCATTCAACTAAGACAAGCCTATTGACCTATGGTTTAGGAATCATTGCCAAAGTCAGGAAGCAAGCCATGTGGTGAGCTCAGCAAAGACAAACCCAAGCTTTGTGCACTATGTGTTGATTATCTGGGAAGGACACGGACAAATTGGTACGCATCAGATTATGGGTCGCATTATAAGTTAATGAGGGATATGATATTTAGGACTGCTGGTTTATAACTGCATCCTGTACTGTTATCTGAAGACATTCTAGAATGCAAAGGCGCTGAAAATCCTCTTCAGTTCCCTCCAGTACACAATCATGCTTTTGCAGCAGCAGTGTGAAGAATCCTTCAATGACTTTAAGATTAGCCTCCACTGTGGACTCCAGTGCACTCAAGAGTACTTCATTTCACTCATTCACCACAAAGCTTGCACAAGCTTCTGGTGAGTTGTGACGAGCAACATATCCAACCTGCCGTGCCATGACTGAGTTTACTTGTCATTTAATCGATCAGAGTTCTTTTCCTGATTTCAACTGATAACACAGAAATAAAGTAAAAAGATTGTTGTGGGTGTTGAGAAATGCAACTATGCGTTCCTGGATGTGAAGTCAGGACGTTTATTTTTATTTATTTTATTTATTTATTTTGTTTTTTTGGTTTTTTGGTTTGGTTTGGTTTGGTTTGATTTGTTTGTTTTTGTTTTTGTTTTTTTTTGTTTTTTTTTTCAGTTGGAACCATCTCTGGTATTCTTCACTCTTCATACCATTGATGTCATCGTGGTTCTCTCCACAGGTGGAAAGGAATGGCAGTGGAGCGGAAGAGATGTTGCTACTGCCTTGAACTAAACTGCTTTTTTATAGGTGGCTTGCAGCAGCTATGGTCTATGTTCCCTTACCACACAGCTTGCGTACACTTTGGTAGCTGCCCTCTCGAAGGGGTTCGTGCAGAGGCAGGGTGAGTGTGCACTTTGGAGAGGGGAACAGGGAAGCTGTCCAACAAAGAAGCTTCAAAAGTGGGATTGCCCCACAGACTGACAAAGAACAGGGATCTTGTCAGGTCCCGTGCCGCTAAATACAGCCTGACAGATACCTCAGTTTCATGATTCATCTCGAGGGGTCCATGGACAATGCAGCTGAAGGTTTCCAGGGGAAGGTTTCCAGAGGTTGTAAGTACAGTTGTAAGTTTTACTCTTCTGGAGCTGGCGGGCTTTAAAAGATTTCAACGGAGTTCTGTCAGCTGGAGCAGGACTGTATATATGTGATAGGACTGGAATGCGCAAGTTGTTCTGTAATCGTAGGTAAAGATGTTGAGCTTAGATGATGCGTTTTTGTACGGAGCTTGTTGGTGGAACCTTCATCTTTTCTGATCGAGCACTCTCTCAGCCAACATGAGCTTCTGCTAGGCAGTATCTTTGCAGGCATTGTAGGAATTCTGCAAGTGAGAATTGCACGAAACCCTGTGCCGGTTTTTCAACATCGTTTAGCACCTTGAGAATTCTAAATTCAGGTTGAGCGCATTTTGTAAGAAGAGTAATGTGCAATCAGTAGAAGTTTGAAGCATTCTTCTTGGAAAGTTCTGTAGTCGGAGAACATGGAACGAAAAGAATCATACAACATTTGCTGCTCAATCGGTGCTTTTTGTGATCACGAACCAGGTACGTCGTACATATAATCTCCTCAGGTTATCAAGAGCAATCGTGAATAAATGTAATGCAAGTTTGATTTGCGACAGGGATTGAAATTGTCAGGACTGCGGGAATCTGAGCATAGTTTAGTTCCCTTGAACCATTGTCCAGCCACTCTTTGGGGAGAAGAATGTCCTGATCATTACCAAGACAGAATAACTTCTAATTAGTGAGTGGAAGCGAAACTTGAAAAGTTGTTGACAACCAGCTGGAATCTTCACACCTACAATGAGTGCAAGAACAGCAAGCAGAAGCATAAGAGCTGCCACAAATGACAACAAAAGTTAGTTAAGGGAGAATCATGCCAGACCCAGGTGCAAGAATGCAGTGGCTATGGCGTACGCTCACACTGCTCCATGTTCTGACGTCTTTCTTTTCAGTCGTGGACCCCCTTGACGGGAATCCTGAAGGTATGTTTCTTCCGTTTTCCTCACCACTTTTTCCATGTTTCCTGTCCACAAAAGAGAATTCGAAATCTTCAAGAAATCTAATCAGAGGAGTAATGAAAGTCACTGAAGCAGTTTTATGCTTGGCGACAAAGTTGCCATGATTCTAACCCTCACATTTAGAACCATCTACATTCGTGTGCCTGCAATCGTGAGCAACCAAGTACCTGAAACAATTAGCTCCCGAGGAATTCAGTCGAGAGTACCGTAGGGAGTGAGCATTTCAGAAATTCGTTTGAGCTTAAGTGTGCATTTTTGACGCAGTTGGACAGAATCTGATTCTAAACTTGAATGGTGAAGAGCTAACTCTGAGTAGTGGAGCAAATGCGCAGTGAAGTCTTTGTTTGCAATTAAGCGAGCATTACAGGATCCTCTGAACGTTCTTGCATCATGGGATTCGAATTATATGTCACCCTGCACCTTCGCCTTTGTCGATTGTGACTCTAATAATTCAATTAACGGGTTGTAAGTGCTACTTCCTATGAATGCAATTTTTATTTGCTCCATAAAAAAATGCTTTTGTGAAGAATTTCAACTTGAAGGCTCATGAATTGCACATTCACTTCAAGTGCTAATTTTGTTTGATACAATAATCCACAAAGTACGGGCCAACGTAGCCAGATGAACCTCAACACTGATATTGCCTGTCGCATTGATGTGGTCTGAAGAATTAAGTAAAGAAGAACTCGAAAGTTAATGATAGTCAGTTGCCTGTGTTCAGGGAGCTACCAAGGAATGGTTTATCTGGAAGTTTGTCCCCTCTCATTGGGAGCCTCTCGAATCTTCACCGCCTGTATGTACATCCAACCTGCTCAATGAACTCGATGACTAATATTTCTTTCTTAGTAACAGTAAAGAATTTATATATGAGGTTTTGTACATTTGTTTTTCTAGAGTAACCTGATCTCTAATCCTGGTACCGAACTCGTTCTCTAACTCTTAGCATTGAAACAAGCTGGACCTATGCTTTCACCGTCTTGCAAGCTCATGACCGCTGTTTCTTCTGTCAGTATTATAACCAACAACTCGTTATCCGGTGAGCTTCCCAAAGAGATCGGCAATCTATCAAAGCTTGTGGTCTTGGACTTGTCCAGGAATCTCTTCTCATGCGCGATCCCCAACTCCCTTGTCAACCTGAAAAATTTAGTATCTCTGTAAGAAATTCTTCCAGACTTCTCCACAAATCTTCATTGGAAATGTCACTCTCGTTTCCCTTTTAGTTCAAGTTCATGCTTTCACTTTTTCATTCAGCGTACAGAATTATTGAAAGACAACCTCCATACTTAATGGATCCAAGTGGCTGTTTATGTCTTTTGGTCGTTGTCCTTTTCTACACAAATGGGGCAAAGTAACCTTGCCTATTCGCATCAGTAAGGAATAATGATTCATTTTAACTACCAAGTTTTTTAAACCTTAGCTCAGAAACGTAGGGTGCCGAGGGAAATTTCAAAATGTGAGCCTTATTTGAAACTTCGTCTCGCTGTTGCCTTCACAGTTGCGGGGTCCATGATCAAATGATAGCAGGTTTATTAAAGAATGGAACCTTTTATTGTGGGGAATAATTTGGAGGTTATTATCCAAGACGTGTGTTTTCTTTCCGCAGAAATTTGAGAGGGAATCATTTCAATGGAAGTTTTCCAGCATTTGTCGCCAATATGTCCTCCTTACAGTCGCTGTAAGCTCATGGGGACCTTGGGAGAATTCATATTGAACATGATTGTAATGTTAGAAGCTATGTATGTCCTGGCGGCTTTAACTCCAGTGATAATAATGTGTTAGATCTCATATCGTTGACGACAAAACGTGAGTGACATCTATATCTGTTTTTCAATTACAGGGATGTTTCAGAGAACAACTTATCGGGTTTTGTGGGCAATCAGACATTGAAAACTTTGATGTAAGGATTTCTGTACGACATAGGCTGTCAAATCAAGCTTTTTCAGCTATTATGTGATACCGATGCACAGCTGTTTTATTTTGATGATGCATTAAGTTGAAAAATTAACAAGATACGCTTGCCATACTCACATTCGGGTCCGATCTGAAAGATTTTGACCTGCTGGGACAAATGTGAGTTGTCGATCTGCCGTAATTTTAAGTACTCATTCAAACATCGAGTAACCTTTACAAATAGGTACTTACCGACACTTTTGTTCGATTTATCAGAACGGATGGAAACGTCAATTTGTGCGGTTTAGCTATAAGGAAAGAGTGTCCTGGTGACCCTCCACTTCCAAATCCTGCAAATATTAATAATATCGACAACAGTGAGTTTCTACTCTATATTCATGTTTTCTCTTTACATATTAATGTCTCCTTAGTACTGATTGTTGTATTTCCTTACACGTCTGCATATAAAACACATCTCAGAATTGTCTTGTAAACATGATGATTTGAAAACTCTGCACTTTGTTGGTTTGGTTTGAAAGAGAGATGCTTCTTGCAAGTGCAACCTTTTAAGATTTTAATTCACCTAATCAAAGGATGTCGATTGGTATATTATGATATTGTCTTGCTTGCTGTTCATTTGAACTCTTTTAGCTGCTTGACTGTTGGGTGAATTGAAGATAGGACAGTGTTCACCAGGTGATAAAGAAGGGTTTAGCTTGTGTAAATGTTAAAACAGGGACCGTCATATGTTTGTGAACTGACCTTCCCGATGAATGACAACAGTTAGAAGCAGAAAATCTGCAAACACATCAGCTGTAGCATGCGGTTTATCATTGGGAGTAGCAGTGCTACTTGGTTCCTTTATGCTGGGACTTCTATGGTGGCGTCGTCGCAATTCAAAACAAATCTTCTTCGATGTGAATGGTACTAGTTGCACTAACCAATAGCACGTTGCCGAATCGTGCTCATCATCGTTAAACATTAGCAGAGTAGAAATTTGGATATCACTTGAAGAATTTATTGATCACCCTAATCTATGTCGAGATCTAAGATCTTCCTTTAATCATTTCAGCATCTCTCTAGCTTGATATCCTTGAATGTATTGTTCCAGAGCAACAGGACCCTGATGTATTACTTGGGCAGCTCAAAAAATTCTCATTTCGAGAGCTCCAAATTGCAACTGATAACTTCAACACAAAGAACATTCTTGGAAAAGGTGGTTTTGGAAATGTCTACAAGGGATATTTATGTGACGGCTCAATTGTAGCTGTGAAGCGGTTGAAGGGTGAAGGCAGTCCTGGCCATGAAATGCAATTTCAAACTGAAGTTGAAATGATCTCGCTGGCAGTACATCGTAATCTTCTGCGATTACGAGGATTTTGCATGACCCCAACTGAGCGACTGCTTGTTTATCCCTACATGCCTAATGGGAGTGTGGCATCTCGTCTTCGTGGTCGGAAAATTTCTCCAATTTGTCTCCAAACTTGAAATATCATCACAAACAACTTACTGTTTGCTTTTTAGTAAATGATTCGGGGATTTTGGAATGTTAAACTTCAAAATTCTTATAATTCAGATCCAACACTATCAGTATTAATATGAATTCATGAACCAAATTGTAAATTTTCTCTTATTCCATTGTCATTGATATTAACCTTTTTTTGGCATTGGCAGACATCGTTGGTGGCAAGCCAGCCTTAGACTGGCCGACACGCAAATGCATTGCCCTTGGAGCGGCACGGGGGCTACTTTATTTACACGAGCATTGCGACCCGAAGATCATTCACCGGGATGTGAAAGCTGCAAATATATTACTTGATGAAGGATATGAAGCAGTTGTGGGTGATTTTGGACTTGCTAAACTGTTGGACCATCGAAACTCTCATGTTACAACTGCAGTCCGAGGCACAGTAGGGCACATTGCGCCAGAGTACCTCTCCACTGGCCAGTCTTCGGAAAAGACAGATGTCTTTGGGTATGGCGTGCTATTGCTAGAGCTCATTACTGGACAAAGGGCATTTGGGTTCGGCCGTCTTTCCAGGCAGAATGACATGATGCTTCTGGACTGGGTGATTTTCTCTGTGACCCTCATTTCGGTTCTTTGTTTCCATTTTGAATGTGGTTGAGGGAAATAAAATTTTATTTGTATCATAGTGATTCTTTCTATACCAGGAAGTAATTGGAGAACTGGAATCTTATTACGTATTAGTTCCTGATTTCTATAACCTCGTCAATAGGTCCACAAGCTGGTCCATTCTTGAATGCCTGATTGTGACTCTATATGACCTGATTAACAGGTGAAGAAACTTCAAGCTGAGAAACGGCTAGACTTATTGGTGGATGTGGACTTCAAGTCAGAATACAATTCACTTGAGCTTGAGGAGATGGTGCAGGTAAGGAAAGTCTTTGCTCCCTGAAGTTTGTTGACATTTGGTGTGTACTCTTGGCGTTAATAAGATTATAATTTCTTCCATATACTCTGACGAATGAAGTTTTTGAAATTGCTACGGTTAATTGTATTAATCCAACTGTGCTCCACATGCGATACCACAGGTGGCTCTGTTGTGCACCCAAATGCTACCTACTGAGCGTCCCAAAATGTTGGATGTGGTGCGAATGCTGGAGGGCGATGGCCTGGCTGAGAGGTGGGAACAATGGTGTGAAGTTGAAAGCCGAAGAAGTAGAGAGGCCTTGCTCCCACGTAGGTACTGTGAATTAGTTGAGGACTCTTCATGGGATATTGAAGCCATTCAACTGTCAGGCCCCAGATAGTGTTCATCAAAGCGTTAAAGTAATGAAAAATATGAGGTATTATTTCGGTCAATAATATTGGAAGTAGGCAAGAGATGTTTTCAATCTAATGGTGTAAGCTTGAGACTGCACCGATTTCTTTCAAGACACAGTAATTGAGTGTTCCTAAGTTTCTTGTATGAAAAGAAAAAATGGTTCAGCGTTTCATCACAATTGCGATATCAAATCGCTGCAGCATTACCGGTGCATGAGAAACACCCAGTGAGATTTGAGCTTTATGCAAATTTAATTAAGAGAACTTTAAATTTATTCATATGATTGATGTATTCTTGTGATGGCTTGAAACACTTCAGGGAGCAAAGGCTTTCTTAATCAATTTGTTTGAACTGGACTTTCTTAATCAATTTGAAAGGTAAGAGAAAACCATTTGACAGGTTTAGGTTAATGTATGGAAAAGCAAAAAGTAAAGTGTGGATATAGCTAAACTATAATTGAGAGAGCAACATTGTAGATACTTACTTGATCTTTACACTAAAGATAAGAAAGAGTGAAATGAAGAATGTTGAAAAAAAATGAAAGGAATACTAGGAACACTAGAAATGATACCCACATTAGGATTATGAAATTTGATGACATTTGAAATCATTATACTATTAGACCAACAAACAAATCTAATATCTAAGCACAATCATTTGAGGCATGGAAAAAAATGTCCTTGTAGGATTCATAAAAGGCTTTGCATGCATTTAGTTTTTTGGAAACTTCATTCTTTCCAAAAACTCTAAAATTTTCTCATAATTGTAGACTCTTAAAACTATTTTTGCTAAATTAGCTTTTGCATTAGCACTAGGAATACTTGATGTACTTAGTACCATGATAAGTGCACCTTTCATCAAGTCATCTACTAGCACATTTAATCTAAGAGTCCTTAAAGGACTTGTGAATCCAATTGCTTAATCGGTTAGTTGATCTTAAAAAGTGTATTTTGTAAAAATTTGACTTTTTTAATTGATTATAACAAAAATATATGATACACAATGCAACCATGAAAATTAATTGCTTGCTACAAAGATAGATTCTAAAATCCTTCTTAAACCTTCTACAATTATAAATAAATTAGAATATTTCACAATCTCTTAAAATCTTTATATTAAAAGATTATGAATTAATTTTTATTTTTTTTATTTTTTTATTTTTTTCGAATGTATTCAATTACATCAAACTTCTTAATTTTTTATAACCAATAATAGAGCTAAGAGTACAAAAAAACTAATACTTCAAGCTCATTTAATCTCTTCTATAATATCTTTCTATTTTGAAGAATTCTAAAGTTTCATTTAATTACTTTGTCACTTTTGGAATCAAATATAAAATTTATAATTTAAGAACTATTTTATTTTTAGAAAAGATAAAACTTATGTTGTTAATATTTTTTTCTAATTTTTTCTTGACATATTTAAAAACTTTTTTTCCATAATCAATTAAACCCTACCAAACTATACTTTTTATATAGAATGTTCTCTATACTTCATTTTCAAAATAAACTTGGTTTTTTAAATTCAAATAGTCCATAAGCAAGGATCTCTTAACAAGGACTAAATCTTACAAAAATCCTTAAATCTAAAAAACAAATTACCACAAATATAACTTCTTGTTAAGTAAAGGATTGTGAAAGATTCTAATTGTAAGAGTTGGACATTAATTTTTATAATAGAAAAGTAGCTCAATTTGAAATACATTAGGCTTGGTGATACTTCTAAAATTAATAGAAATTGGATTTAGACTTTTGAAGTTGACATATTGTATAATTAATATCAATATTTAAATTAATTTTATCCCTCTATGTATTAACCACCATATCTTTGTACCACATGTCTCTTGTTTAAGTAAGAGTTTTTTGATTTTATTTTTAATCAAAGAAAAGGATTCTAAATTCAATATTTGTTTTTAAAAATAAATATTTCTATAGGAAGAAAAAAGAAAAATTAATTATTTCTTCCACTTTGACATATTCTAAAGAGAGTTGGAACACCACAACAAGAAGATGATTAAATTTTGATTTATATAAGCTAATTCAATCATTGATTTTTAGAAAAATCTTGTTATATTACAATATATTTTTTAAAATAATTAAAAAACATATATAGAAAAAAATCTAGATAAATCTATAAAATAAATATAATATAATAAGTGGATATTATTTCTTTTATAGATATGATAACTATTGGACCTTTAAAATTATTTTTAATCCAATAAATACTATTTGAGTAAATAATACTCATTTAATAGAATTTTAGATAAATTTTAGTTAAGAAAAATAGAAGATCCTACAAAAAAAATTAACTCTATATATTTTAGAAGGAAGTAGAAGGATTGATCTAAAGAAACTCATACATATGAGTCCATGTCATGAACATGCATATTTATCTAAATAAGAAGTATTAGATAAAAGATAAATATAAGTAGGTTTGATATTATCTTGTGGCAAAGCTTCTTATAAGCTTCATAGATACGTATTTGATTTTAGACGTGTTTGTAGCTGATAAATAAGTTAGAAACTTAGCCAAAAAATTAGCCACATATCACATGTGCTAATAGCTTGAGAAACAAGCTAACTATGTAGGGCACATATAGGAAACTTATCTTATAAGTTAGACATGAGTGTTGCAAGTTAGATACGTGTTGGAGGTCCTACAAAATGTCACCACATAGCTTTTAGTTAGATAGTATATATAGAGACAAAAGTGAAGCTTTTTTCACTCTTGTCAATGCTTTTTTAGTCTTTAGTCTTATTTCAAGACTTTTTAATTTTATTATCTTTAATAATATCTATTCTAGTTTCAATACTATATTAGTTTTGAATGAATATCTATTCTTTTTGAATTATATAAGAATATATTGAAATTTTGGTTCTTCAAAATTTATGTCCTTGATAATTTGACAAGAATGCCAACTCATTATTCTTGTCTTGTTTTTAGATGTGAATAGACTATCCTAGTTCTATTATTTTATTTTGAAGATTGCAAACTATCTACCTTCAATTCAATATTTTAGTTGCCTAATAGTAATTTTTTTTTTAAAGAGAGTAGACTATCTTTCTTTGTGGAAATTTTTACTTGATATTAGAGGTTGTAAATTACTTTCCTCTAATTTGTCTTATAGATTTGTTTGAGCTGTCTATAGAAGGAAAAATTATGGATGCTACTTTTAGCAGAAGTGAAAATAGATTTGCAACCATTACAAATCTTCACAAGCTTATTAACATTCTTAGGATGGAAATTTCACATATCTCTAACATCAATCATGGAGGTAGTATTTCAATGCTTATGGAAGAGGTCAATAATGAAGTTTAAAGTCTATATTAAGAAGTTTTGTAATTAAAAGAAGCAAAAAAATCAAGTTTAGAATTAAATCTGAGAAGTCTTATTACTACAAGTATAAGAGAGACAAGTATAAGTATGTCAAAGAAGTTTCATGGAACTAGATCAAAGTCTTGAAGATTTCTATAATAAATAAAGTTTTATTTAAATTTGTATCATTTTCAATATTTTGATGGAATTACTCAAGTTGGATTCATAGATGCACTTCTCTTTGAAAGTATTTTTTTAAAATTTATTTGTACCTTTAATACAAAAGAATTTATAATTATTCTATAATTTAAATTCATTCTTAAAAGTCTTTATGGCTACATTTGAAGAAAGTGATTAAAAAAGATAGTAGAAACCAAACTAGTATCTTTATAATAAGGATCACATTTCACGACCATATATATTGTTGAATTCTAAAACCTTGCTTGCAATATAGATTGGAATAATAAGGCCTTTATTAATCAATTTTGATATGAGTTAATATATAATGGCAAAAAATTATTATTGAAAATACCAAGAGTAGACTTATTAAAGTAATTTATTGCTCAAGCCATTTTATGCAAAAATCAATTCTTTGTAAGATGCCAAGAACAAAGTTTTGGTTGAAGAGGTATAAATCAAATCATGGCAACAACTTCTAAATTCATAAAAGCTTATTCATTAGGATTAGAACCTATATAAATTGACCTGGTATGTTTTAAAACTCTTACTGGATAAAAAAAGACTTGACATTGTCAAGAAGGATTGTTCTTATATTATGGAGAACCTAAGCACACTACTCAACATTGTGTAAAGAAGTAATGCAATCACAAAATGAAAAACATGATTTACAAAGAAGACAGTGTGTCAAAAAATCAATTTTTTTAACTATAATAGAAATTATATGACTAAAATCTTGTGCAAAATCTAGTAAAAATTATATCTTTTCCTCAAATTTTTCACCTTATTTTATAGTAGAAATTTGTTTAATACCAAAAAATCACAAAGTCTTAGCCTTATTAGAGTTAAGACCTTGAATCTGTTTTATAGACAAAAACTTTGTTAAAAAATAAGAAATATCCTTAATTAAAAAAACTAAACCTATGCACATAGAAACAATAGATGGTCATTTGTTATTTTTTAAAAATATCATCTATAAAATTATTCCTTTTGATGTAGCAATTAGTAATTATAATAGCTTAGTAATATTTACTATGATTAAATATCCTTTTAAGCCAATTATTTTAGGATTATTATGGCTAAAAAAATATAAACTTCAAATAGATGGAATTTCTTATAATCTTGATTTTGCTTTATAATTTAAACTAGGATTTTTCTAATCAAATAAAAATCTATAAATCAAATACATTAAAATCCTTATTAATAGGTGTGAGAGCTTTTATGCATGCTGCAAAAAAAGGATTAAATTTTGCTATATATGCCATACCTATTTTTGATGGAAAAAGATTATAAGTTACATTCTAAGTCAATAACAAGATTATTAAGTTATTTTTTAGAAAAAGAATGAAGTTATTTTTTTAGAACATTGTTCTTATCATTGTTTCATTGATCTTCAATGTAACAAGGTATAGATAAGATAATTGTATAGATAGATAGAACCATGGAAGTTTCTAGAATTTTAAGGTTAGGTTAGTGGACCACGAAGGACCCATCGTAGAACATTCTAGAAAGATTTTAGGGTGGTTATTTAGATAGGATCCATCATAGAACTTTCTAAAAAAATCTTAGGGTGATTATCAAGATAGGACCTACCATAGAACCTTCTAAAAAAGGAATTTAAGGTAGTTTTTTAGGTTGGATCCACCACCTAGGAATATTCTAAAAAGTCCAGGGTAATAGGACAAG